ACCGTGAGAGCTCAGTGCTTGTCATTCAGATACAAGGGATTCCTAGCCAAGGGGATATATCATATCAAGTCCCATAACTATCCAATAAGAGACCCAAGCTTACTTCTGATGGACCATCTTTATCTTTAGTCAACTACCTACCCCTGTAACAATCACAAAGTCAAGGACATGGTTACTTCATTGCTGACCATCTTTGAACTATATAGAAAGGCTCTTCTTATGCAAGAATAATTGAAACGAGAACAAAAGGACACTTGAAATAGTAAGGAAGACACACAGTTGGGTAGAATTCACCAGTACAACCACTTTTTAAGGAATAATTTTTATAACAAATCCAGTGACTTCAGTAAATTTAGGGCTACTTACATTTTTTAGCCATTTTGTCAGTATGGTATTGTGTTTTTCAGGAATCTGTCCGTTTCATTTTAGAAAAACTAAAGTGTCAAGTTTATTGTCAGATAGTTGTTGATAGTACATAATGTCCTATGGACATCTACAGTATCCAGAGTGATATCCTTTCTTTCATTCCTGATATTAATCATGCTTTTCTCTTCCCCTTTTTTCATGCTTAAACAGTGTTGCTATGGATTTATCAACCTTTTTTTTTTTTTTATCCCCTTCAAAAAACCAATGTTGGCCTCATTACTCTTTATTTTTTTTTTTAATTTTATTGATTTCAGCTCACATCTTTCTTCTACTTACTTTGGGTTTAATTTCTTATTTCTATTCTAATTTCTAAATATAGAAACCTGCACAATTGATTTTAAACCTTATAAATACACAGGCATTTAAGCTATAAATGTGCCTCTACTTATTGCTTTAGCTACATCCATAAATTTTGCTATGTTCAATTTTACTTATTCTTTTTGAAATATTTCCAACTTTTACTAGAATTTTTGTTTCAATTGGCAAAATGGCAGACAGGGCTAACAATAATGACAAATGTGCAAAAGTGGAAAAGTCCTTATAATCATGGTCCCTATTCTCTAGTTCCTAATCAGCTTTTAGCCTTTTGATTTTTATATCAGGGTTGGGAAGAAACAGGGTCATCATTCCCATCTGCTCACCTTCCTTCCAACTTATGACCTTTAACAAAGGACTTGCTGATTCCTTTTTCCTTAGTGGTCCTTTTATCCAGTATTACAGCCAAAAATGAAATTCAAAGCAAGTGGTCAATAATTGACTGCTTTTTGATCTTGGACCTGGATGGACTCAGGTTCCCTGGAAACCTAATATTACTTACCCTTTTAGTACTTTCTCAGAGAAACAACCGGAATCCTATAAACAGACATGAAATGAGAGGTGCCTGGGTGGCTCAGTTTGTTGAGTGTCCGACTTCGGCTCAGGTCATGATCTCGTGGTGTGTGAGTTAGAGCCCCACATCAGGCTCTGTGCTGTCACAACAGCTCAGAGCCTGGAGCCTGCTTCAGCTTCTGTGTCTCCCTCTCTCCCATCCCCTCCTCCACTGACACTCTGTCTCAAAAACTAAACATTAAATAATTAAAAAATAATGAGATAATAAACATAAAATCTATTCTCTTTTACAAGCACAGAGAATAAAGTAGAAACAACTAAACTATCAGAATTACAGAGAAAATGCACCATTCTAGATTGCTCAATGAGGCAACTATTCAAAAGTTAAGGCACTGAATTGTACAATTATGAATACACTGAACTGATAATTTCCCTTAGTCTTAGGAAAACTTTAGGTTTAGGGGTGGTTATCTCTTGCACAAATCTCATTTTGTTACATTGCGCAAGTTAATAATGTCAAGTCCCTTGCTTTGAATCGTGTTATTCAATTCTTAATCTTTGCATAAACTTTGATCCTCAGAATTCTGCCATTAATATCAGAAAAAGTAATCAAGCCTTAGCCAGGTTAAATGAATTCATCAATGCAAGTTAATAAATTTATCAAATATATATGGCTGGTAAGTTCTAGAGCTGGGGCTCAAATCCAGATCACCTGACTCTCAGGTTCGTGCTCTAACACATCACACTGAAGGCCAATGCATCATGTCCTTGTCACATAGTCATATGACTTTAGGGACTTCAAGATCATTAATGCAACGTTCCCTTAAACTGTAGTCAGTGAACCACTTATCGCAAGTACTGTGTATTAGTGAAGACTGGATACTGATTCGAGATACAGACTCCCTGGCCTTATCAGACCTTCCAAATCAGAATATTTGGGGGCATGGCTGAGGAATCTGAAATACTTACCAATTTCCAGATGATTTATGCTCCTATACTGAGAGAATCTTTCCTAGGAAGACTGAAAAATTGCCATATAGTCTCTACTTAAATACTTCTCAGGGGAGTAACACCTCCCAAGTTTGCCCAAATCACTGTTGGGCAGAAGTATCAAAAGGCCATCCAGTGGAGTGCCTGGGTGGCTCAGTTAGGCATCCGACTTTTCATTTCGGCTCAGGTCATGACCTCACAGTTTGTGAGATTGAGCCCCGCGTTGGGCTGTGTGTGTGCTAACAGTGCAGAGCCTGCTTGGGATTCTCTCTGCCTCTCTCTCTCTGTCTCTCAAAAACTTTTTTTAAAAGGCCATTAGAAAGAAATACGTCTATATATTACTTCTGAAAAGTGGTCATTAACTTTTGGGAACAAAAAAGGTTTCTTTTTCCTCTCACATTTTAAAGACTTGTATTTTTCAGATTTGATGAGCAGACCATCTATGCTTTCATTCAATAATTAACTGAACCATTCTCCTTGTTGGAGAACATGAAAGTAACGTAAATGTTAAGAAAACTTTGTTCTTTTTCTGTGACCTGTTAGCATGAGGCCATGATTAACCACGCCTCGAAGCTACTTTTTCCTTGTCTTTCGTTTTTGATTATTAAATATTTCAAGTGTCCAACAATCAAATGAAAACTTACACGGTAGACACTTGTATCAGACTCAAACCTCATGCACATGTTCAGATTTCTTTCATGCTACTTGCTTCTGGGGTCTCCAGCCTTTGGTTCTGCCTCAGCCTCCTGCACCACAAAACATTTTTGGGCCCTCACAGTTCTGCTTTCTCCTTGGTCAAAGGCTGACCAACCTCTTGCTCTTGACACTTTGGGCCCTCCCACACTCGAGCTAAGCGGCCCCACTTCCTACCTGCCAGCTTGGATCCACCTGCCCACTACAGTGTATGGATCTGATATTCAGGGTGGGGTCTTACAGGCCAGAGGATTCAGTCTGGCAGATGGAAGGGTACTTGATACACCTCAAAGTGAATTCTGACCAATGGGAAACAAGAGATGAGGAGAAATGACAGATTCACTCCCTGCCCTATCTCCTTCCCTTGGACTATTGTAACATACAATTTGTTTTCACAGAATGTCATGGGAGGTCCCAGCATGACAACTAGACACACCTGTGTGGTACCTTTTTCTCTTCCTTGCTTGTGACGGGGCACAGCCATTGCCTGCATGCATTAGTTTGCATTGCTACACATCCTTCCCTGACTCACCCTTGTTGCTTGGCTCTCCTGATAAAGCATAATCACCTCCATCCTTGCTGCAGGCTGCATTCTGGAGAACCCAGGCTGTGACAATAGCATGTAGTCACTAGCCAGCATAAATAATGTCGTTCCTTTCCTGACATTATGCCTCGTATAGAATATAAATTATTTTTTGTGTGTAGCATCCTTCCACAGCTCATTCTAAACTTAGCCTTCATGACATTTTATATGCAGTCATTTCATGATTTATATTCTTCAAACAAAATGATAAAGAGTTTCTAGCAGTTTATCTCACTGGTGAAAAACTGCTTAAATAATTTTTTCTCTTCTGTATACATAAAAATAAAGAATAAAATGACAATCATCTGGCTATGAATTTTTATTAATTTATAATATAATATCTTGCCTAGGCTTCTGCTCTATTCATCTTTATTTTATGTGGGAGGAAGGCCCTTAGCTTGGTCCTAATATAAAAAGCTAAATAGATATCTCCAGTTTCTCTTTCTGCGAGTAAAGAATATGACATCTTAAGATCATCCATTACTTTTCTTCGTGACATTATATCTTCCTATATTTCTGAATTTGCATATAAAATATTAGGTCTACCTAATGTTAACACGATTTTGGAAATTAGGTTGAAAACTGCAGGTGAGTGATTCAAACTACAATGTACAATAACTTCCAGGTCTGGTGATCTTTTGAAAAAAGTTATTAATGCTAGTGTTTCTACTTGTGTGTTAATATAGTATTGTTCATGTTAGAAGCATTACACTTTATAATAGTAATGTTAGCCAGGTCTCTATAAATTTTTTCTCTACAGACAAAAATTGAAAGGCCCATTTAGCCACACTTAATGCAAAGGGAGGACACATAGATCACACTTACAAATTTCTTGAAAAATAAATTTTATGATGTGTGGTAGGAATTGGAACACTGTGGGTGTGTGGGAGATGGTGGACAAGACGGGGAAATCCGTTGCTCCTTTGCCATTAAAACACTTTTGCCATTAAAACACTGTTGTGCTAACACGTACGATTTCTTTGATTCCCTAAAACTTTCCTCAACTGAGGATATCCAAAATGTTTAAGAAAATATGAATCCAAATTATTTTTTAAAAAATTTTTAATGTTTATTTTTATTTTGGACAGAGAGAGGGACAGAGTGTGAGTCGGGGAGGGGCAGAGAGAGAGGGAGACACAGAATCCGAAGCAGGCTCCAGGCTCTGAGCTGTCAGCGCAGAGCCCGACTTGGGGCTCAAACTCATGGAGTGTGAGATCATGACCTGAGCCGAAATCACATGCTTAACCAACTGAGTCACCCAGGTGCCCATGAATCCAAAGTATTTTAATCATGATGAATATTACAACTGGGTCCAGATCTTTTAGCCACAATTAAGTAACTTATGGACCATTAGGAAAACCAAGGAAACATTCAGTAGAACTCCATCAAGAAGTGAGGTAGATACTGAAATAAAATATTGAGGTGAATGAAACTTCACCTCCTGTCTTGGATTAAAATTGATGCTGTTTCTTTTTTTCAGAAATCGTGCATTTTGACACCAGCTCTTCATTTGATAATCACTTCCAGAATTCCCCTTATCAAAGACGCAGAAGGTGAGTACCAGTGACATTTCATCAAAGCTTTTGTAACTACCTGCTTTCCTGCTTCATTTCTGCTGGGTCATAAAGTGCCTGTTACTTTTCAAGCCAATCTGACCACAATAGGAAAAAATTTAAACAGAAACTTGGCTTTTTAGAGAAAGCTCCAGCTCTCCCACTGAACCGGGCACTTCTGCAAAGGCATTTAACCTGCCTAGATTGCTCATCCGAAACATGATTGCTCAAATCCTTTCCAGCGCGAATGTTCTAGAAAGCCTTGAATGTCATACATACGAAGAGAATAGTGCTTCTGCTCACTATACTGAGTTGTGACATTATAAATACTCTGCCATTTTGGGAACATGGAACTTTAAGGACTTACTCAGCTGTTTAGCACTCATATTAGCTACACAGTTGAATACTAGAAGTCTAGATGATATGATGGGTTCTGACCTTGTCCTATTAAGAAATGTGTTGGGGCGCCTGGGTGACTCAGTCTGTTTGGCATCTGACTCTTGATTTTGGCTCAGGTCATGATCTCAGGGTTTGTGAGTTTGAGCCCGGAATTGGGTTCTGTGCTGACATTGTGGGGCCTGCTTGGGATTTCTCTCTCTCTCTCTCTCTCTCTCTCTCTCTCTCTCTCTCTCTCTCTGTGCCCCTCCCCTGCACATGCACACTCTTTCTCACACTCTCAAAATAAACTTAAAAAAGAGAAATGTGTAATCAGGGGCAGGGTGGCTCAGTTGGTTAAGCACCCGACTCTATTCCAGCTCAGGTCGTGATCTCACAGTTCATGAGACTGAGCTTCATGTTGGGTTCCGTGCTAACAGCACAGAGTCTGCTTGGGATTCTCTCTCTCCCTCTTCCCTGCTCTCTTTCAAAATAAATAACTATTAAAAATGTGTTACATTTATGGCTATTAAAAAACCCAGGTGCCATCCATGCACTTGTACCAATGTGAGATGATATTTTCCAGGTTTTGTCACAGCTATTTCAGAATGTTAGATAGAAACTTCACCAGTAAGGTGATAGGGAGGTCATCCTCTTCACCATACAATATTTATAAAATAATTTGGAGAATGTCTAACTGTCCAAACGTATCCATGTCAAGTTTACATGAATTCCATGCTTGGTAAATGTACTAAACACATTTGTTTAAAGTTCTCCTTTACTGTGTCCTGAGTAAACGAGGCACTGGCCACACTGATGGCCACCTAAAGCCCTTTTTAGCAAAGGGGAGGGAGGCCATATTGGTATATTCACCCAGAAAATTGGAGTTTAAGAAAACAGGAACACTTCCCCAGTAAAGCAACATAGTGAAAAGAAAAAAAAATCATTTTCACAGCTATGCCTTTGCAATGGCAAAAAATGTAATTTTCATTACAATATGACTTTTAAATAAGGTTTTGAGGAACTAAGAACTGCCTCTTCTATGTGAGAAAAATGACGATCAGTCCACGGACTAAGTACCATTTAGTGCATCTGGAAATCTTCAACCATGATTCTAAATGTATTTAATGGAGTAGGATCAAGAGAGATTTCTGGGAAGAGAGAGACAGAGAGAGGGGAATTAAGAATGGCAGAAAAATGTCTGTGTTAAAACAGAAATATGCAGACATTATTTTGTGAATGTTTGAATGATTGTCTAATACAAAATCTCGAAAGGGATGACATTTCTTGAGTTTGAGTCCATCAGTCCAGAGTTTAATCAGAGAAGTGGTGAGCCACGTTGTTTGAGATTCATGTGACATTTCCTGGGAGAATTAATGCTGATACATAAAAGCCCCTCTTCTCTTGAGGACTTGAGAAGGGAATAGAGAGGTGATCTCCTCTAAGTGTCAGCCACAGTAAGGCTGGGCAGTGGGTGGCTTTCTAAAGTGACTGGCTTTGCTCCCTTACTCTTCCTCCAACGCCGATGCCCAAAGTTCAAGGGTGGAGGAAGCTCTTTTTCCAGAATTCAGCCTTTTTCTGTTTCTCTGTGAGCACTGTCACCTTCCCAGGCACTAAAGCCAGGAGTGATTAGGAGAGTCAACAAGTCTGCAAAATCCAGGCCAGGAGATGAGTAGGGATTTGTTCTCTCACCTCTCACCTGTACTGTTGTTTCACATCAAATCTGACTTTGCTTTATGCATGAAGACCCAAATCTATCAGATTTTATGTCCTGGAGAAATATGTATTCCTTTTCACTGTATGCTTCCTCTGCAGTTTTGTGGCAAAGGGGAACATGCTTTTTGATGTTTTATGGAGCTGATCTGATTTATTTTATTCAGACACCTCAGAACATAAGATCACCTCCCTGGGCAGGCTTGGGAATTCCCATGGTGTGGTTGAATTGACTCTATTCCTTCTCCCAAATAAAAATGATCCCAAAAGACAAATGCAAACTCTAGGTACCATAGCTCTCATGTTGCGTCAACAAGTTGAAAAATGACAGGTGATACCCAGCCCAGGGCTTGGAACACGGCGAATGTTCGATTAGTGTCTGAGTATCTAATAACACCGCTTGCTAGTTAGTGTACCGGTTCTCTTTCATATGAAGGCAGAAAATGAATCCGTACTATTACAGGGGGAAAAAACTGCCCTGAGCAAGGAAGAACCTTCTAGAATGAAAGCTGTATAAAAATTAAATGATTTGGGAGACAGTGATCCTTCTGTAATTGGTGGTTTTAACGAACTCCTGATGTCCCCGAGTCAGGGAAAGGGCAGGGGTGAGGCTAGGTGGTTCAAACTGCCTGCTGACTCTGAGTTTCTGTCATCATAAAGGCAGCAAACTTGCTGGGCCACAAGGAAATCTGAAGGCATTAAAGGCCATAGGGCAGGGTTTGCATTGCCCCAGACCCCTCTCAAGTTAACAGCTCAAGGTTTTATAATGCCTCTCAACTATACATGAAATGGAGAAAGAAGAGAGTGAGAAAGTTAGTTAAATAGTTTAATCAGAGCAGTTTTCCAATTCTAAAATTAACAAGCAGACTTGTAATAAAAGAGCTCCAATGTTTGCAAAATGATCTTGCTTCCATTCTGAATCTGTCTTTTTATTTGTAAAGATAAGCATTACATTTAAAAGGACTCAAAATGGAGTGACTGGTAATTATCACCCGTGGTTTTTGATGCATCTGATGAACTCCCTGAATGGATATTGCTTCAGCTTTGATATTAAAAAAATGGCCGGACGAGAAGTCCTTAATCAGCAACTGATCACAGGTGGCCAAAAGAAAGAGAAAAACCCAAAACTACTGTCAAGTTCATAACGTATCACATTGTTGGTGGATGACACTGGCTCCAAATATACAATTAAGCCCACGACACTTTATTACTATGAGTAGAATTATCATGAAAGGTCTCTCACGTTCATCAACTTGCTTCTGGAGGTTTTCTTTGTTCTTTTAAACTTGCATAATAAACATGCAATGAATTATTTCTTTTGAAAGTGTATTTTTTTTTTGCAGTCTTTGTGTTTTCATACAAAGATTTCATAAAGTCGCAGTGTTGCACCAGAGCATTACCAAAATAAGAGCACGATCACATGGGGAGGGTAAATGTGAATTTAGTGAATGAGAAGAGCCTCCTCTCGTCCTGAGACAGGCCACCCGTCTTTTTTTTTTTTTTTTAGAAAGGTGCACGCAAACTGCTTTTCTTACCCTCCCCCACCAGAGAAAAGAATAAAGGAAAAAAAAAACCCACAAAATCAATCTGAGAAAAAAAAGATCGACATGAAGAAAATAAAGATGGTTTTTTTCATGCACACATCTTCTGCATAGCTCAACCCACATATAGTAAGGCACTATTTCCCTTCGTAAGTGGTGTCCACGGCAATCTCTTAAGTGCTACAGTGCTCTGTGACCATTAGAGAGTTCCTCTCAGGATGGTGAAATAAAGGGGCCGGATGAGTGTGGCTGTCACGCGTCTCTGTGACTGTCCCATAGCTCAAGGGGACTTCCAGGAGTCTCAGAAGGAAATCGGTCCATTTGCGTTATGACTGAGAGTGTCCGAAATGGTGTCCTTTCCAGAGTTCCTATGTTGTCTGTGTATGAATTTAGAATATTCTTCAGTCTTTATTCTCAAAGAAAATACACAAGGTGGGGGGGGAAAGCACAGTCGGGTCTTCAGAAACAGAGTTCACTGCTCCCAGAAAGCATATAATGCTGGCAATTCACAAATTCAGCAGGATGTCTCCAAGAGAGCAGAGAGAAAGAGTCAGAGAGAGACAGAGACCGAAACAGAAAGAGTGAATGTGTATGTTTTGGTTTTCAGAGGTGACCAGAGTCTGAGTTTAATTTAGCTGGTCTTCATACTGTTTCCGGAAACAATCCCCTGCTGGGAAGAATTCCCAGCACCTTTCTTGATACATCTTCCAGACATAAGATTCCTGTCAACGTAAAGGAAATGTATTAACATCATGTCTTTCCCCAGGATCTGTGCATTACCACAAAATACAAGATAAAAACACACATTTGTTGCATATATATATCACATACCCATGTAACTGTGTAAGTACACATAATTACCTGATTCGAAAAGCCCAAATTCATCTAGAGAGTGCCTAGCTATACCAGACCTCATATTTCTATTAATAATCCATCTTCATCTGGACCATAATACAATAATGATTAAAAACACTATTTGTGGCATATGATTTTATGGGTTCTCTTAAGGAAATATTAATTGTATCCTTCAAATTCAAACTGCTAACAATCGGAGGTGAATATTTGTGGAGGGAGAATTTCAAATACTTAAGGAGAACCGTAGATATTTCATACACAATTATTTTTAATTGATCCTAATATTGTGGGCTGGAACTCATCTGAAACCATCTGCTATCTGATTAAGCAATCAAGGGCATTATACTTATCAGAACACAAAGCCCTGCGTTTTCAGCTAATTAAAAGCTTACATTTTTTACGTGAACTTACGATTTTACTTTCTCGACAAAGGCAATCTTTGCCCGCTCGTCTGGGATAACAGGAATTTTTTGTTAAGATACTATATCTGAAAGTAATCCCAACTCTTCAGGTTTAATGCACACATTTTCCCCACCATGTCCATATTCTCTGTCACTTCTTTCAGAAGACAGTGTATGGTCGCTGTTTACCTACCTGTCCCGTGTGCTCTGTTTCATCTTTGTTTATGAGATACATCAGAAAAAACCTACAGATACAGAGAGACGAATCAGAAATGGGTTGTATGGAAATGTCAGCGTTCACAGATACTTCTGATCTGGCTACGGGCTAACTGCACACTGTTGGCAGAGCGGAGAAACGTATCAAAACTGCAAGGCAAAAGACGCCACAGGAACCAAAAGCTTAACCATTTTTAAAAAGTACGTTTTCAAAGTAGCTACAATGTGGGCGTGCGCAGATCAAGTTATACCTCTCGGGAGCTGCTGTACATCAGGTTTCGTGTCAGATCGCACTTAGCCACTCATGGGGCAGGAATCACAATCCCCATTTAGAAAAGCAGGGATTAAAAAGTTTAAATAACTTGCCTAATGTCCCACAGTTGTGAATGCCGAAGCCTGCTTTTTTCTTTTCTTTTTGCTACAGTGCTACTCTGCCTCTCTTCTGTTTGATAGCAAAATTGGGTTAGAAACCAAGAATAATTTTTTAGCAAACTGCAGCTTGGGCTAGTCCTACAGCAACAGCCAGATTTCTATGTATTAAAAAAAATGCAACTTTGAATCATGTTAGAACACCGTGCCTAAAGAGGATAATTGGGCCTAAAGAGATCTGTACGTCCTCAGAAAATGAAGATGGAGATTCCCGAGTCCCTAGGAGGCATCTGGAGTCTGCCTTCTTGAAATGGGAAACACGGCCAAGGCTCTCTGAGAGGCTGAGGATGTATTTCACTTATCATTTTCCACCTTTCCATTTCGTGTTCTAGAAGGTATCATTCACATGAAGGGCTGCAAGTTCTTTTCTTATCACATACCCGTCTGATACCACACCGCATACCAGATACACATACCTCCTGAGGACAAGGGGACTGCTAGCTGTGGGTCTTTCTCTCAGAGAGATAGACGAAGCCTGAGTTCAACAGTATAAAGAAAGGAAGCTATGTCTCTTCTGCTTCTCAAGCTTGCTAACAGGGGGGCACTCACTGGCGGGTATAAGGAGGGGCTGGAGAGTCTGAGTCAGGCACACTCACAGGTAATTGGCCAGGTTGTGTTCCTGTAAAGTGTGGGTTTCAAAGCCATGTGGCACTGTGTCGAAGTAATCGTTGCCTATCCCACAGATGAAACATTTGGTCTAGAAGACAAAGGGAAATATTTACGTGTCAGATTTCAGAAAGCAAAACAAAGGAACACACAACTCGCCACTTAGGGGGCAGCTGCTGTGCTTACTCGATGTTTGTAGAAGATCACGACAGAAGGCTGTGCCAAACACATGAACGCTAATTTACCTGTTGCCACAACTATATCTGGCTGGAGGTTTAAATGACATAGGTACCAGCAACAAGTTCACATGTAGGAAGAAGCGTACAGGATCACGATGGCTGAAAAGCACTGTCTTTTCCTTATTTCCTCCAGCTTAAGTGAGAGTGCCCAGACTTAGCCATCAGTCTTGTTCATGACATTAACTCAAGTTATGTAGATGGGACTCAATGTGCCCTCAGCTGAAACCACCAGCTTGGTACCTACTGGAACAAAGTCTGATGACCCAGGGGAGGGGGGAAAGGTCCAGACTACTCCCATCTGGAGAGAGCCAAATCACATATCAAGCTGTGGGGTGTTCGATCAATGACTGAGAGAGGGTCCGCCACGGGTGCAGAATTAACCAATGAACATTCATCATCAGAACTTTCTACTCCAGGAATGAGGTGCCTGCTCTTTGTGCCCCTTGTTTGTTCTAACCAGATCTCTCAGAGCAGCACCTGCTTAGGTCCGTGGTGTGCAGGACCAGCACACGAAAGCTAAGGAGAAGCAGGCCTCCCGTTTCATTATGTGAATTTCACATGTATCAACTCAAGCAGTTGTGATAGTTATTGCCCTCGTGTGGCTCCAGATGTTCATCCTGCTTGCAAATTAGCAACTGTTTAATGCCATCGGAGGCATATTTATGATGCCTTAGATTCTAGGGCCTGGACTCAAGATGATTAAGATAATTTATTCAGTTCCCTCTGCCTTATTGATCAACAACTGTGGACAGCAGGAAGGCCACATTCAGAAAGGCAACAGGTCTTTATACCATTTGATGTCTTGACTAAACGGGCTCATGCTTCGCAGCTTCACCCACGAACCTGCCCCTCCTCTGTGTTACTTATCGCTGTGACTCTGGAAACCTGGGTAGCGTCCCCGCTTGCTCAAACACCTCACCTCTGCATCTGGACAATCACCCGCTGCTTGTCATGCCAGCTCCTAAGTACCGCTTGAATCCATCTGGTTCCCACATCTTCGGTGGACGTCATCATCTCCTGCCTAAAACATGCTCCCAGCCCACTTCCCTGCCCCTGATCTTGGTAGTTGCTAATGCACTGCCAGACCCCATCACCTTACTTAAAACCCGTTTCTGATTTTCCACAGGCTGTACGTTACACTATACATCTCTGCAATGAGTTATTATAAAGGGTTCAACACCCCGCTCTGCAATTTCCTGTTTACTTATTTGTCAGTGAATCCATCATTCTGAATGGGTGGTTCTCCTCAGGGAGCAGGAGACATTACTGTTTGCACGCCCCCGGCGTCCGCCATGTTTCCCGCCTACCACACGATATGCGTGGCGCGGATGGAAAACGGGCCGAGGAAGTCACACATTGCTCATGCCCTTTTCCTACTTTCTCCCACGGCCGTGATTCTTTGATAAAGACAGTAGGAGAAATGAGTGCCCACAACAACAACAACACAGCTGAGTCAGACACGGCAAGACTCACCTCCATGTCTTCTTTGACTTGCTCCTGTTGGTCTCTTAGCTCTCCAAAAGCATCAATAATTAAACCTGGTGTTAAATAAAAACACACTCGAATCTTTAGCAACCAGAGAATAATAATGAAGCTCACAGCCCCGTGGCTAGTCCTCCCAAGGAAAGAGAAAACGTACAGCCAGGTTGGGAGAAGTCGTGAGTGGGCACACACTTGATACTCCTCCTAGGGCAGCAGCATTATCTCTTGGGGGCAGAAGCACAGCGGGTACTGTGCTTACACCGTCCCTGAGAAGGGGGTTTCAAAACGAAGTGACAGGGCAGGAAAAACCGCTCATTACCACGGCACATGCACCTGGTATGTTAGCCGCCACGTTGTTCCAAGAAAGAGCAATAGAGATTTCTGGTGGCAAAGCGCAGGAAAGTCTACTGATAACATTTTCAAGTACCGATTTGGAAATCAAACGTCACCATATGAACTCAGGAATCTGCCTCCACTCATTCTCGTTACGTGTTCCTCACAAGTAAACTTGCTGGCCTGTTATTAACTGTGTCAGCCAGGAGCTAACTGCACCGCGTTGTTTCCTCTCCGCTCGTTTTCCTCCTGTGACTTACTGGCTGCACATCTTTTTCCGAGTGTTTTATGAGTTTGCTCTCTTATAAAATATGTTATTGTTACACTCAGTAAAGACAAAAGGATGGATTATGAATCTTGTCGACTTGTTCATGTACTTTACTGGAAACAAAAAGTACTCTTTTGTGCCTGCAGAGCTTAGAGGATAATAACACATTTATAGACATTTAATTCAAGCCAGGATAAACGTATGAGCAGAAAAAGGTAACAAGAGTGATTTTTCTGAGGGAGAAGAACACCACATTCCAAGTTTCCTTAGGGTAAAGGGAAGAACTGGTACGTTAATATGGCTCTCTGGTTTTTTTTTTTTTTTTTAAGTTTAACTTATTTATTTTTGAGAGAGACAGAGACAGCATTAGTGGGGGAGGAGCAGAGAGAGACAGAGACAGAGAGACAGAGAGAATATCCCAGGCAGGCTCTGTGCTGTCAGCCCAGAGCCCAATAGAGCTCAAACTCAGGAAACCATGAGACCATGACCTGAGCCAAAACCAAGGGTTGGACACTCAGCCAACCATGCCACCCAGGCACCCTGATGGCTCTCTGGTTTCAACTGAGGGCTCTGGGTCCAGAAACCTGGGTTTGGATTCCAGCCCTGACACTTCTTGACTGTGCACTTTGGCCAAGTTACTTAGACGTATTATGGCTCAGTTTCTTCAAATGTAAATAACACCACTATTTTCACGGGTGTATGAAGGTAAAATGAGTTAATAACATGTGCCAGGCACATAGAAGGTACTCAACAATGATAGCCTTAGGATTCTTTATGAGGCATCAGATACTGTGCTGAGTACTCATATGTACATCACTTCTTTTTTAAAAAAAAAAATTAAAAATTTTTTAATGTTTATTTAAAAAAATTTTTTAATGTTTTATTTTTGAGACAGAAAGAGACAAAGCATGAATGGGGGAGGGTCAGAGAGAGAGGGATACACAGAATCCGAAACAGGCTCCAGGCTCTGAGCTGTCAGCACAGAGCCCGACGCGGGGCTCGAACTTATGGACCGCGAGATCATGACCTGAGCCGAAGTCGGACACTTAACCGACTGAGCCACCCAGGCGCCCCAATGTTTATTTTTGAGAACGACAGAGTGCGAGCAAAGGAGGGGCAGAGAGAGGGAGACATAGAATCTGAAGCAGGCTCCAGGCTCTGAGCTGTCAGCACAGAGCCCGACGCGGGGCTCGGACTCACGGACCGCGAGATCATGACCTGAGCCGATGTCAGCCGCTTAACCGACTGAGCCACCCAGGCGCCCCTCAAAAGGAGTTAAATGGCTCACCCACCCAACATTATAAAGTTAATAAGTGGCAGGGCAGAAAGTCACAGCGAAGAAAGTGCTCTTTCCATTAGGTAATGGGAAAAGAGTCCAAAGAAATCTGTATCCGTCTTCCCCTTTACCAGGGCCCCCTTTGATCCCCCCCTATAGATTTCTAATGGAGAAACACTGAACAGAAAAGTTCTCGTTGCCTTTTTACAGATAGCACTTGACATTCTGACCTGCCCTTAAGTGTTAACTTGAACAATAAATGGCTCAAATTCTAGATCCTCTTGAACTCCAGTAAGGAGGATGCTCACCTTGAATTATGGCCAAGAGAATGACAATCACGAAGAAGAAGAAGGTGATGTCAAAGATGATTCGATAGATCTCATATTCATCGCCTGCTGGGTCTTCGATTTCATCGCCGATACCCCCTCCAGCACGTACCCCGACGTACATGTGGAACATGTAGCACTGGAAAAGACAGACACAGTTACTTCCTGGAGACGCTGCCCGTCTGGACATTGAACAAAGTTGAGGCTCTCTCTGTAGTTGCTAATCCTCACTCTGGAAACTGACCATCTCTGCCTTCTACATTGCCTCTTTTTGTTTCAGTGTTTGTGATTATGATGCAAACACGTGGCTCTTACACTCTGCTGTCCTTTGAACAAAACTCGACACGACACTCTGCCTCGCACCTTCTGTCACACTTTGCAGGGGATGAAAAATACCTCACTAGCATCTGGCATAAGGTAATCCCATTAAGATCACATTAAGGCCCACAAAGCTATATTTAATCACACTGCTCTTTTTTTTCTTTTTCTTTGATCAGAACAGACATAGGAGAGAGGAAGGAAAACCTCAATATTTAATAAGACGGAATCTCAGAAATTAAGCTAGGAAAACACCGGACCCAATAACGCCATCCCCTCATCCGTCATGTATGGAATACGATGCTGAAATGTTTCTACTCTAATGTGTACAAGAAAGAAGACAGAGGGGAGAAGCAAGGAGGAAATAACAGCTCATTGTTAAGAATCTGAAACATTAAAGCAACCAATTAGAAGAAGAGCTCCAAGTGCCCACTGCAGAAGAGGGCAGGGTTTCTCAGCCTCAGTTGCCGTTGACATTTAGGGCCGGATAATTCTTTGGATAGGATCTGTCTCGTGCATTGTAGGATGTTTTAGAAGGATCCCTGGCCTCTACCCACTCAATGCCAATAGCACCTCATTGTAGATAACCAAAAACATCTGCAGACATTGCCAAGCGTCCCCGGGAAGGCAAAATCACAACAGTTGAGAGCCACTGGCTTCAAGCGTCAGTGTTTTATCTGTTTTCAGGATAAGGGCAGACTCTCCAGGTCGGGGCCTCAGAGTCAGGGACACTTCATCCCTCTCCACTGATGGGCTACTGCTCCCGAGTACCACCCTGCACTATATCCACGCCTGTCAGATAAACAACTCCCTATTCTAGTTCTTGGTTTGCATTTCCTTCCCATCTTAAACAATTATTTCCCTTTCTTATCCCATTCCTTTTCACCCTCAGGTAACAAGCCTTCCTCCATGAGGCCTTCTTAGACTGTTCCAGACACTCCGACTTACCCAACTGATGTCATCCATGAGTACAAAACACATTTACCCACCATCTGCCTTAACGAAAGGGGCAAAGGCTTTGATACAGTGTCTTCACTTGGGGAGACACCACAATCCCCTGGTCATCTTCTACATTTCTGGCCATCCTTTCTCAGCCTCCTTGGCCAGTTCTTCCTAGAGGAATGTCCCCACTTTCACAGTTAAGTACCATCTCTGTGCCAATGACATACAATTTTTTTCTGTTTACACCTTGGGTCTCTTTCCTGAATTCCAAACCTGTACCTACCACTTACCTAATTTTGATGCTTCGTGATCTGTCTCACTGCACTGAACTGGCTTCATTACAAGAAGAATGACTTTGGTTACTACTCTATTATCAGGGCCTAAAATAATGTCCAGCACATGAGAGGAACTTATACATCACTGGGGCGGAGGGGGGGCGGTGAATGAAGAGTGAAAAGTCATGACTGATCAGTGTTCTCATGGAGACTTCACTGTCTCAGCCCATGAACCTCAAATTCTCAGATGACCCCAAAGAGCACAAAGGACAGGCAGCAAGTTGACCCCAAAATGCTCATAGTTCAACAGCTAATATAGTGATAGATGCAGCACACAGAAAGTGTCCTGGAGCAGATGCCTGGAATCTAATGATCAGAACCGAATAACGACTGGGTCACTCAGGAAGGAGGTTTGTCAGTCTGGCACACAGTGAACGAAGAGGATCAGAGGGTGGCTCTGTCACTGCCCAACCAAGAACCGTCTGGGGCTCAGGTAAGGGGTCTCTCTCACAGATAGGCCAGAAAAGTCATTTTTGTAATGTTCATTTATTTTTGAGAGAGACAGAGTGTGAGCGGGGGAGGGACAGAGAAAGAGGGAGACGCCGACTGTGAAGCAGGCTCCAGGCTCTGAGCTGTCCGCAAAGAGGCCGACGCGGGGCTCAAACTCACAGATCGCGAGATCATGACCTGAGCAGAAGTTGGACGCTTAACTGACAGAGCCACCCAGGTGCCCATAGAGTTTTTCTCTAGGGAAGAGAATGCGTTCTCCTGCGGCATGAACTCTTAATGAGTAGGATGTTGGTGTTCTGACTCATACATGTGACTCTTAGGAGCCTGGTTAATGTCTGTCCTCAAGAGGATGTTTAGTTTCCAGACATGCACAGTTGAAGATAGGACCATGGAATGAGGCTAAATTACCAAAGCAAATGTCTCCTACTTCTCAGGTCTCCTGTCAGCCATCTAGCAACATCCACGTCTCTCTGCTCACCTTCATTCTGTGAAAGCTCTGATGCTGACAAAAGGCCTTCCACCATATTTCAATAATAGACTCTGGCCATGCTGAAAAGATAGGCAGTCTTATGCATTTGATTGTTTAGGCTTAGTAAGATACCAGATTTTAAAAGTATAAAATTCCAGGTTCACCTGTGGGATTTTGATACTGATTTTCCCAACCTTAATCTACACTACCTGGTTATCCCCAGATATAGCAGGTGGGTGGCTAGAATATGCGGTAGGGTGGTGAACATCCACCTACGTAGGGCTGTCAGGCTTTTAGTTGTCAGATGATCATTCTGCTCCTGAAAATGGAAAATCTCTCATTCACCTTCCTTTTCACAGGAGCAGCTTAAACCTGAACATCAGAGTTGGAGAATGGAAAGCAGTAATTCTGGGACACAAACCGATACACTTTGTTCAGAGAATCTGAGTCATGAGGAAGGAAGGTGCCTGGTGCTACCAACACTGGGAATACGCAGTCAGTTCTTCTCCAAATTTAATATTCTATGGTTTCTCCCCTACCCACTCATCTCCCGAGTGGATTCATTCCAGAGTTAATCACTATGACAGCTTTAGGAAATACTGAGGAGGGACAGTTTCTGGCGGAGTAGTGAAGATCTTTACGAGATCTTTATCCTGACCCCCCCCCCCCCAAATAGGGGGAGAAATAAAAGTGGAAAGAGACAGAGACTGGCAGAGATTACTTGTTGGGAGGGTAGGGTAAAATAAGTAATTTAGAACAATACCCTGAGCTGGGGATTGTACTTCCCTAGGAGTAACTCATTCTCTCAACCACCTGGTAAGTTTTTTCCAAAAAACACAACAGGTCTTCCCTGCAGTTTCTGACTTGGGATATGAGGGTGGCCTCATTGAGCTGCGGTTCATAAAGGGATGCCCTGGTGAGTCTTGGTGAAAGGACCGCCCCTTTTGAGATGAATGTCTTTATATAGGCCAAGTCAGTCTCCCTGGCTAGTTAGCTACAATCATCTTTTTGCCTGGGGCTTTGGAACTTTGGATCATTTTGCACTTTCTCCTTGTACATTCTCTCAGGATACTGATGGTTTAATTAGATTCTCAGTCTTAAAACACCATGATCCTAAATAAATAAGTAAAGAAAGGAAAGGAAAGGAAGGAAAGTGTAGGAAGGAAGAAAGAAAAGGGAGGGAGGAGGGAGGGAGGGAAGAAGGAAGGAAGGAAGGGGAGGGAGGGAGGAAGGAAGGAAGGAGGCAGGTGGTAGGTGGGCAGGCAGGCATGAAGCATCACAGTCTGTAAAACTGTAGCTACAGCGCCACCTGCTGTTAGGCATGAAACACTGGCAGGTGAACCACATCGCTGTGAAAACCTAAAATGTTCCTACATATGCCAGGAAACTACCAGAAGCAATGAAGGCACTGGAAACTCGGATGTTGCCGAGAAAACAGGGCATGAGTGAAGAAAACCCATCTCAAGCAAACAATCCTCGACTTCACCCTGTGAAGACTAATTGTTAGAGACGGATGTAAACAAAAGATTCTCTTTTGAGAGATACACGCAAGATATTAACCGTGACCACTTCCTACGCCGTACTTCTGTCTTGCTAGCTGCTGGGTTTTGCTAAGCCTTGACTTTTAACGAGCACTACTACAAGTGAGCAGTTACATTTTAAATGTTGTTGGCTTGTTCAAACCTTGCTGCACAAGTATTAATAAGAGGCAAATTAAAAGGGGTTTTGAGACCAACTATTGTAAGGTAAATCTAGGTGATGTGGCCTCTGATGTGATCGTTTTTAAGAACAATCAGCTGGATACGAGCATGTGCAAAGCTACACAGACTCCTGTGTGCCTGATCCGCCTGGCATCAGTATGGGAGCCGAGATGTTGTTTGTGGCTTGGAATTATTTTCTCTTTTGCAAGAAGACACATCTAAGGTACATCCTCATGATGCCCCCAACCTCACCCACCCAAAGGCAAGGTACAACCAGAACAGACCTGGTTGTAGGTAGTCTCACTGGTAGGGGCAGAAATCCCTTAAACTGGACAAAATCCAGGCTCTAGCTCAGTCCTGAGGCCATGGTCGAAACATCAAGAAGCCTTATTTCCTCACCCTAAAGTGAGGCAAACTTCTCTACCTCTTCCCTACACATCCCATGCAACTGGGTCATGCCAACCAGGTAAAGGCAGTTTGTTGTCTTCCTAACTCACTTGTTGTTCAAACCATGCCTGGATTCCTCTCATAAGTTCGTTGGGAAAATTTACAAAAGCAATGGAAACTCATACCAAGAGTGATGTTCGAAATGTAGTCATCCAAGGATACTATCAGGATAATTAATAGGGTCAAATATGATTCATGACATTAGAAGGAGACACCTGGATGTTTCAGGGGTCTTATTGTGGTAGGAGGGGGGCAAGTGAGGCCCCGCCAATCCCAATGCCAACTCAAGAGCACTACCTGAAGTCATCCTGACTTTCCAGCAATCTTCAGCGATTCAGCGGGCACCACACCCTCTGGCAGTGAATCACCTCGCTAAACTTTCTGACTCAACCAAGGTGGACTTTGAGATTTAGAACCATGGGGGAGGGGGTGCTTCTGGAAGAGAAATGAATCTCCCTGGAGTCACAACTGTCTGCTGTTAGTAATGACTGACTCCCTTTTGTGCCTTGTTGACTCCTCCAGCTGTCTGCTCCCCTCCCTGCCTCTAGACAGCTGCTACCCCAAGTCTTGAAGTCACCGGGTAGAGAGGCCAGGTGGGTATTAAAGGCACCTCTCACAAGAGGAGATGAAGGATCCTTACTGGCGGTGAAGTGTCACATGTTTAGTGACTCTGGGGGACGTCACTACCAGTGATGAATCCCTTACTGTGTAAGTTTCTTCTCTCCCTAATCTGTAGTCCTACTCCCTGTAGGAACCCTTGTTAACAGTGTCCCATGTATTCTTCCAGAAACACCGTGTACATATTCTAGTGTATCTAATATGTACATTCTAGCATGTGTATGTGTGCACACAATCAGGATCTTATCATAACACTGTTCAAGATCTTGCCCCCCCTTCCCCACTGAAATGCAATCTGTATGTCTTTCTATATCAGCACGTGCAGATTTGTCTTATTTTTAAACAACCTACTTTTCCATGATATGGATTTGCCATAGTTGGTTTCATCGGGACTCTATTGATATAATTTAGATTATTTCCAATTTGTGATAGTAGAAAGTATCCTTAAACCCACAGGAGCATATTTGTAAACATTTAAATCAATACAATCAGTGGAACTGACAAGTCAAAGGGTAAGTACAATGAAAAATGTGATAGATATTGCAAAATTTCTGTAAAATCATTGTCTTAATTTGAATTCCCTACAAGTGTTCATGAAAGTGCCAGTTTTTCCATCGATTCAACTGTGGGTATTAACAAACTTTAATATTCTGCAAACCTAATAGTTAAGAAGTGGCAGTTGATTGCTTTGATTTGCATTTCTTTAATCTTTGTCAATTTGTAAGCTGACTGAATTTTACCACGAGCTGATTGTTCCTTTTCCTATTGGTTTACTTCCTAGTGATAAGTACTTAGTAAATTAAGGACAGTGGCCCTATGTTAATATTTTCCTAGTTTTCCATTTGTCTTTAAGACATCGCTTAGTGTTGTTCCTTTTTAAAGTAATTGTTTAGGACTCCATGCATCTTAGGTTTTATGACACACTTAGAAAGACCTTTCCCCATTTAAAAATTATTATTTCAAGGACTCCTGGGTGGCTCAGTCAGTTAAGTGTCCGACTTTGGCTCAGGTCATGATCTCCCATGATTCATCTCACATCAGGATCTGTGCTGACAGCTCAGAGCCTGGAGCTTGCTTCGGATTCTGTGTCTCCCTCTCTCTCTGCCCCTCCCCTGCTTGTGCTCTGTCTTTCTGTCTCAAAAATAAATAAGCATTAAAATTTTTTTTTAAAGAAAATAAGTAAAATTTAAAAAATTATTATTTCAAAAGTCAAATTCTGTTATAATTTTTATTCTTTTCTTTTTGCATTAAAATATGTGTCCCATTCAGAATTTATTTTGATGTAAAGAACTAGGTTGGTATCAATTTTTATCAAAATTTCCCCAAAAGCATATCCATGGTACCAATACCATTTACTGAATTCTTTTTCATTTCATGATTTCAAAAGCCACGTTTTATCATACTTTTAATTTCCAAGTGTATCTGCATGTATTTCTAGACTCTCTATTCTGTCCCACACATGTATCATTCTCTAGTACAAAACCTGCCTTAAGTATTAGTTTTTATAACATTAGTAGTTCCCTCTCATTACTCTTTTGGGATGTTTATTTTTTCTAGAGTAATTTTACTGTCACTTTGTTGGTCTCTGACACCACTAACCCCAGCTATGTAGGTATTTTGATTTGGTGCTCAATGAAGAATTCATCTCCTTTCAGCTAGAGGTACATATTTCCAATCTAAGATCTCACCTGTAATAACTGCTGATTCGCCAATATTAGACGGGCAGGTTAAGGAACAGGGGTAGAGCAATATGAAAGCTTGAACATCCATTGATTTTAAAACCAAGACCGAAAAGGTAATTTAAGCTAAAGTACTGAATATTTAAGCAAAACCTAAGAGTTCTAGTAAAAGATCTATTTTTGGACTTCGGTGATGTCAGTTAATATCATGAAAGTAAACAGATACCTAAGGGTTCAAAATACTCTCCAAGGAAATAATTTTAACTGCTGTCCTGGAATCTATGAACCAATTCAGCTAAAGCGTTTGTTTATATTATTCCTTCCAGCTCTAAGTCCTTTATGCAAAAAATCTGATTATCAGGCTGGTACAGCAGATGTAAAAAAATGGCAGAAACGGTCCTTTACATTCTGCAAAAGAATGAAAACTGTTGATTCTTTAAAGAGCCACACAACTTTTTACTGGGTACGCTATTTTCTATTCTGCAAGGTTAAAGAGTAACTACACAACCACTCATACTGAAGAAGCAGGAGAATTTTTCACTCATATGAGATCAAAGTGTATGAACTTACCGTTAGCATATCATCACATTTCATATCCGGTGTGTCACCATCTTCACTTTTATTGTAGAATTTTCGGAAAAAGTTGAATGCCACAACAGTATATAGGTATACAACAACAGCTAACAAGCCAACAGTTAATACAAGCTGGAAAGCAATGTGACACAGAACATGCATTAGAAATGCAAGGCATATATGACTGGCATGTTCAACATCAGTGTGGGAGGGGAGAATTCTATGAGCACATACCTGGATTTATTGACTAGAAAGTAATGGGATCCATACCTCACACCGTACCTTTCTTACCCTCTTCTGTGGGGAAATTTATTTCCATATGCTCTTTATTTTATTAAGTGGTCAGACTGTTTTATGTAAAAGTTGGCTACTTAATTGGTTAATGAATGCATACTACAGCTGGAATATGAATAAACTCTGATTGACTTTCACATCCAAATTGATCATAATATGTATGTGCTGAAAATAAGAATTTCACCAAGTTGGTGAAAATGTATTTCTGGTTATATCACAGAAAATCTAAACACACTAAAATGCATTATTTTTTGTGTCTACTTCTCTAATTACAATGAATCCCTATGTTCTTGACTGTGGCAGCATATATTAAGTCCTTCAAAAATAATTTTATAATTATCTGGAGAAAATATGTTATCTGAATAGAGGGCTTAATTCACTTCTGTAAACGAAGTACAATGCCACTATAAATTTCTGCACATCTTATTATGAGGACTATTAAGCTCTCTATATTTCTGTAAGTCAAAAATTGATATCTCAAAAAGAAGGAATAATCCTCGCAAAATTTTAGAAGTGAATTGAAAGCAAGCCAAACCTTTTGTGTGAAAATGCACAAGAGATTCAGAATCTCCAGTTCTTTAAATATGTCAGGGGCTCAATACTATGAATGAATAAACACTTTTTGCTGATGTCATAGTCACATTCAAAAATTAGAGTCACGTATAGAACAACAATGTGTTGAAATTTAGGAAACTAAAAATCATGATAACTGTTCACATGAACTTAACTATGGACATAGTTCACGTGTTTGGGGGGACATGGATTTAAAAATATGCTGAATTATAAAATTCTGGAAAAGAAGGACTCTGTTAAACCAAATAACGAATATAGAATGTGTTACTCCCAGTAGACAGGTGATAGAGAATGAATCAATAAATATATGCTTCTATAATGAGTTTATGAATAATTAAAGTTTTCACATTACAACTGGGCTCCATTAAAACATAAATTGATCATCTGGAACTAGGCCAGTATGTAAGTCCTTGGAGTATGACCTTGTCAAGTATGAAACATAAAAGACCACACGATATCCAATTTTTAAATATCACATCAAATTAAGAACGCGGCATCTTGTGTTTTATTACTATTGTAACTAGTGCATCAGGATTCTGAAACACATTTCAGTTCCCTCTGGTATCAAATGGAGTAAATATCATATTAGGAAAAATTTATTTTCTGCAGTGTTTTGTATGTGCCGGGGCCTGTGCTAACACCTCCACGTTTATGTTCTTATTTCATTTTCTCAGAAACTCTAAAAGGTAGGCACTTTTATTGTATTCATTTTACACAATGAATTGAGATTTAAAAATGTTAAATCAGTTATCCAAGGTCACACAGTGTATCGGTCAAGCCAACACTTGAATGTAGGTGTAGGGGACTCTTGAACCAATATTCCTCATGGTTTGTAAAAAAAAATTAAAAAATAAAAAAAGTGCATATCCTCCATTCACAAAAATCTTTAAAACTATATGTTGCCATTGGAGGTTGGGTTTTATTTTTATTGGTGTATTTGGTGGGTTGTTTTTGTTTTTTGTAGGGAGTCAAAAAAAAAAAAAATCAACTTTTACCTGCTTGCCATTGTGAGTTACTGATGACAAGATGGTTCTCAGTGTCTTGAATCCCATAGCAATGTCAAGAAGATGAGCAGCAAAAAAAAAGTTGTTATAGTGTCCCAGAACGGACATAGTCATATACCAGGCCAGGTAGAGGAAAGACTGAGAAGACAAACGAGAGGGAAGCATATCAGAAACCAGAAGGAGTGACTGTTGTCCAAAGCTACTCTGATTTCATTCCATTATAATCACTTCATTTACTTTACCTTCTTAGTCTATTTAATTCGAATCAGTTATATTGGTTTATGTATTTTATTGTTATTTAGCTTGTCCTCAGAGGTTCAATGTCTTTCTCTCCTTTATATCAGATAGGCTGTTCTTATGTATCTTTCTATAGAGAGAATTTTACTGACCTAATACTCGATAGCAAGGTGTTTTCACCTTGGCACTACTGAGAGTTTAGACTGGATAATTCTCTGTTTTGGAGGCTGTCTGATGCACTGTAGGATGACCAGCAGTGACCCTGATCTCCACTCACCAGATGCCAGCCGTGACCACCAAAGATGTCTCTAGACATTGCCAAAAGTCACCTGGAGGACAAAATTTCCCCCCTTGAGAGCCCTGCTCTACACTCAATCAAAGAACCAACCAACTGTCCTTCCCTCTTTCGTTTTTTATTTACTCACTCTCTAAATCAGTGTTTGTGGAGACCTACTAGTTGTAAGAAATTATGTGCGGTATTTTATTAACCAAGCATCTCACTTTATGTGAGCCAAAACAAGTCTAGGAGAAAATGCAAATACTACTTAATGTCACCGAAGGCTATAATAAACCTAATAATACAATTGGTACTATCTGTAGGAATCTTGTTTATAATCAATGTAAGAGATTTGCTTTACAGAGGTTAGATGTATAAGTGTATATACTTTTTGAGGGGAGGAGAATAAAAAAAGTAGAATAAAAGATACTGAGATCATGCTTGCTTTCTGGATTAGGGTCCTTGGGCATAATAAGTGTTTTGCCATTGGAGTCAAGAGCTACCCATTTTGGGAAAGGGAGGAAACCTTCATTTTGACTAGAATATATCTTAAGCTTTAACAGAGAACACAAGACAAAGGGGGCTGAGGTGGTATAAATCATCTTTATGGGCAGTTCAGGGCTGAGGTTAGACATCGGGTGGAAGAAAGCAGTACTTGAAAATAGACACCGAGATAAGACTACGCAGAATGTGCTGAGGAGTGACAGCTTGGTTTGAGAGTGGGCTTCTGTTTCAGAAGATGAGGCTGGAAATGTACGGCGGGGTTGGAAGGCCTTCAAGCCAAGTTAAGGGATATGGGCACATCCCACCGGCACGGGAGAACCCCTGGAGCATCATACGGAATAATGGTATGTGAAAAGCAGCATTTTATGAAAATACCGTCTTGTATATTTGCACATACAGTCTCTGTTTTTATTCTAGCCAGACTCTTGATAAGTAGGCAATCTTAGCCCCAAGTTGACAGATGAGGAAAGTGAGCTCACTCCGGCCAAGCTACTTTCTTGAAGATGTAAGTGGCAGAGCTATTGCGTTAGGACACTACTGGCCAACCCCACGGGGGAGGTTGTAAGAGGCACGACTATCAGCGGAACTGGCCAGAGAATGACAGAGGGCAGGAAAAGGATCCAATTGGGCACATAATTGAATGCATATATTAGAAGGAGAAGGAAAAGGAGTCCAAGCTGGTCATCTGGACATAGGTAGCAAGAAGAACAAAAACACTAACAGAGGAAACGGTGGACAGGGGGACTGCGTTTAGCAGGGAAGAGTGAGGAGAGGAGAAGATGCATTTGTCACAGGACATTTGAATGGACACACCCAGCAGGCTATTAAGAAATGAAAAGGCTGAGGAGAAAGGACAAGTGTGTGGACACAAGATGAGTCAGGAGACTAATATAGGTGATCAGGGGAGCCAAGGACACATGTATAGATGACACAGGTGCTGTCCTTAGCCGGATTTCGCAAAAAAAACACAGGCTGCCCAGTTACAGATAAACGTTAGGTAAAGAATAAATAATTTTTAGATTATGTTCCATGCAACATTTGGGATATACTCATATAAATATAGAAGTATGTATATTGTACATTGTTATATTATAGATATAAAACTACCTATATTTATGTATAGGTATGTATACATACCTATATAAAAATGTAAATATAATATGTAAATATTTAGTTATCTGTAATTAAAAATTTTTTATAATGTTTTTTATTTAGTTAGTTTTGAGAGAGGCAGCAGAAGCAGAGGAGGGGCAGAGAGAGAGAGAGACACACACAGCATCTGAAGCAGGCTCCAGGCCCTGAGCTGTCAGCGCAAAGCCCAACGCGGGGCTTGAACTCATCTGTACTTCATCTGGTAAGCCTAGCTATGTTTCAGACAGAAACCACACTATTGAGGACTGAAGACATGTTGAGAAGTAGCTGGCCAAACAGCCATGAAACTACAGGTGGATGAATAATATATCAGAATAATATAACCGAAACAAGTCTGAAGAAGTCTGTCTACGCCCAAATGCTCTGGAGGCAAGAAAACTAGAGCAAGATACGTATCTTACATGACACAAGTACTGCGGCATATAAGGAGGTCAAGGAGGATTGACCTTAACTAGCAAAAGCCAAGATGGCCGGGCTACCTGAACAGAAAACATCAGTGCTAGAGATGAGGTGGTTTCCTTTTAATTTGTGGGAGCTGCTTCCATTATTACAAGAGAAATTTGCTGAAGGCATTAACAGTTGACAATTCTAAAAGATACTTACAAGACTTGTTTTTGAGATCTTTGGAGAGTTCTCTAAAAGACCCAGTATTCCGGGCCCATGACTGGGTACGATAGGGGTGGGGATAGAGACAGGAGAATTTGGGGGGTGTCGCAAGTCTTTAGGAGAACAGAATTACCACTCACTGTAAAAGTCACTGCTAATTAGAGTGTGATTTTGAGACTGAGTGAGAGATGCCAGGGAGACAAAACCAGAGGAGGGTCTAGGACTAAGCCTTTGGATTTGCTTGTAAGTGCCCCTTCGCAGGAGGTGTGTGAGGATGGTAGGAGGATTCTGAACCAGCAGGAGGAGACAAACATTTGTAGTTGATCCATTCAGCAGAGTTTCATGACTGTCCCCAGCAACTTCCCATAGAGAGCACATGGGAGCATGAAAACAATTGATAATAATGATTTTTTAAACTGAAAATTCTAAGAGTCAAAAATGTCAAACTATTGAGCAAGCCAGGGTAGTACAACGTGATCGTCCGACCTGACAGTCGGTGGCTTTTAGTACCAGGTGAATTTTTTTCATTATATTTGGATACAGACTTGGGCTATTAGGCTCTTTGAGAAAAGAAGGATCAATCAAGAACAAAAACCACAATAATTTAATGCACTTAATTTGGTGGAAACTTAAATTTATCACAATTAATGTTTTAAAACTTTATTTAGAACTTCCGTTTTAACATCTAGGAAACTTTGAACTCATTACCCAACTAAAACCTAAATGAAAATACATGTGAATTTGCATCTCAGTTTCTTTTTCTTGCATAAATACATTTTCATGTTAATCTTTCACCTATTGAAAGAAATGGATTGAGAGATGGGGGCTAATTAATCACCTATTTCCTTGGGTCATTCTCAGATAATGGTCTGTATTAAATCAATTGCTGTCTGACTGACTTCCTTAAATCACTGACTGTCTGCCTGCCGGATCCCAACAGACTTGTCTAATCATAGCGCACTGTACTTTGTGGTAATGAAGTGGGCTTACGTTGTCCGTGAAGACGACTCCTAGTTTCCACATCTGATACTTCACATCAATAGAGTTCAGTCTGTAAAGACAAAGAAGGATTTGTGGATATGCATGTGAAACAAAGACTCGGAGGCTTGCAAGAGCCTGCTGGCATTCTTTCTGTGGGATGAAACTGGCAACCATCTCAGGAAATTAGTTGCATCCACAGTGTCAAGGGAATCTGGAACATCTGGATGATGTGTTCCAGAATTCTGTAATGCTTTTTTAGTGGGATCTTGGAAAACAAAACAAAGATGCAACTTCTATTGTTTAAGATTAGCACTTTCTTTTCCTGCATTAAATATAAGGTAAAGCCACTTGTTATGTGAGAATGATTTCTGGAAACTATGCTACTACATTAACCAACATGTGTGCATCCCAAGTTTCCTCGCTTTCATTATACATTTGTAATTGCATTCGGACAGAATAATTTTTACTTAGGCTAATAAAAACTTGCATAAACATCCACATTCACTTTACAACTAAATTTGCCAGTGAAAGGGCTCTTTCATCTTGTTTGTGTTTCCCCTTGTTTAAAAAAAAAAAAAAAAAAAAAAAATCTCTACCCAAGAAGGCATTCACCTTTTCCCCTTGGTTCCCAAATTACCTTGTAGACTTACTACAATTTCCCATTTGTTTTGTAGTTGCGGGTGTGCAGGTATCTACGTACATTTATGCCTTTCTCCCTAGTCTGCAAACTCCCTAACACCAAGCACATTGTATCATACATGGAATATCTCTCAATAAATGTGCTGGATGAGTAAATCTTAGCATAAATATTCCTGATCTTTGTAGATTAAATACATACATAGTAAAACATACTTTCTAACTTTAATTTTTTTAGAGCTGCCCACTGATTGATGTGCTAAAATTATAACTTTGTTAGCCTATCTAATATTCTAGGTAATTGATATGATAGGCTATAAAATATGAGTATTCATTTCAAAAGGGCTTCTCTATATTTACTGTTTTACACGTTATTTCTTTAGTCATTTTTTTTAGGAAGGCCAATCTTAAATTTCAAGTGGTAGGATCAGTAATCGCTAATGAAAATGGACTTCTTAGAGACTTCTCCCCCAAAGGTTACGTTTTAATTTACCTTAGCCTAGGAGTCTTTATCTTAAGGAAACAAAGTTATCTTTGAGCTAGAATCAATTCTATTACTAGAGATCATTTTTTAAAGTTATGTGAATATTTAAAATGGGTTTCAATACAAGGCTATTTTTTTTTTCTTTTTGTTTTTTAAAGTATATTTATTTATTTTGAGAGAGACAGAGTGTGTGGAAAGGAGGGGCAGAGAGAGAGGGAGAATCTCAAGCAGGCTCCATGCTGTCAACACAGAGTCCTTTTTGGGGCTCAAACTCGCAAAACTGTAAAATCATGACCTGAACCAAAATCAAGAGTCAAATGCTCAACCGACTGAGCCATCCAGGCACCCCAACACTATTTTATCTTAAATTTAAAAACCCAAAGACAGAGAAAAAATAAATAATGGGGTAATTTGCATGAGAGCATGATTATTTCCCATGAAAGCAATCTAAAACTAAGTGTTTCTATCAGGATGACTGAATGCCCCATGGCAGTTTCTTACTTTATTTAAAAAATGGTTATTATTTTTCATTCCTATCAAACATTAGGGTAACAAGTTTGCTGTCAACATCGTGAAGCAGCATATCCTTTTGGTGTTGTAGGACACTCTTTTCTCACCAATCACGACAGTACTCCTGTTTGGGTGGAGCTGACCCAACCCCTAGGGATGGGCCAAAGCTGATCTAGGCCAACTGGGCACGCATTCACCTGGCCACAGGGCTTGGTTCAGGGGCAGACTATAAGCCAGAAGCTGAAGAGTTTTGCTAGATGGTTTTGAGATAAAAATCCCTTCTCTTTTCCCATAAAGACACAAATGAAAAAGATGCAGGTTTTGTGGGTCCTGGCAGCCATTCTATCCCCAGGAGGTAATCTGGCCACCTGTTTGTTTGACAAGCCCTACATATCTGATTGACAAATAAAACATGCACAAATAGATGAATCATCCTTGTACCCATTCACATTAAGATAATATGCAAACCAGATAATGTTTTAAAATTTGATCTTTGTAAATGTTTTAAATAAAGGAACAATATATGTAATTCTTTTTCCTAGTTATGGACATTATTTACTAGAAATTTATTCTTCTAATTTTATTATCCATATTTATTTTTTATTTTAATTTTTTTTCTGAGAGAGAGAGAGAGAGAGAGAAAATCTTAAGCTGGCTCCACACTCAGCACGGAGTCCAATGAGGGGCTCAATCCCACAACTCTGGGATCATGACTTGAGCCGAATACTCAAATGACTGAGCCACCCAGGTGCCCCTTCATATTTAAAGGTATTAATGCCATATTAATTTCTTGGCACTTTGCTAGGGGTCAAATTCGCAAACATTTCCTATGTAAAAAAGTGGGAAATTCCACTAATTTAAAACTATTTGTTCAGGGGCACCTGGGTGGCTCAGTCGGTCGAGTGTCCAACTTTGGCTCAGGCCATGATCTCACCGTTCGTGAGTTGAGCCCCACATCAGGCTTGTGAGTTGAGCTCAGAGCCTGGAGCCTGCTTTGGATTCTATGTCTCTCTCTCTCTGCCCCTCCCCCATCATACTCTGTCTTTCTCTCTCTCAAAAATAAACATTGAAAAAAAAATTAAAAAAAACAAATAAAACTTTTTGGTCACAGTAAAAATAAAACACCTTTTTGTTTATAAAATAGTCTAAACTTTCCTTCTATTTTTTTCAGACTTTTTTCTTTAGGATCATAAATATTACCATGGAAAGAGCATAATTCAGTAAAACAATTTGATTCTACACTGTTTGTCAGAGATCTGAAAATATTAGTAGAAAGCTCAGCACTGCTCTATGGTCCTTGTTTTTATATGATATTCTAACATAAAGGTCTTAATTCCTAAGCACTGGCAAGGTGTTTCATCTTCTATACAGTGATATATTCATTATGTACCACATGGGTTTTCTTAAAGTACCCAGGTGATATTTTGGATCTAAATCCACAGTTTCTGTCATGTATTTGTCCATAGAACTAACTACTTTTAAACTGAGTTCACATTATTTTTAAAAACCATGTAGCTCCAGTAAGTTTTCAGATAGATAAAAAACTGTATTACCAATGAGGTCAGCCAACATGTTTTTTTAATGCTAGCTAAAATATTTATCTGACACAAAATAATACCACCCTACAGAGCCTCAAGTATCTATATTTCGAAAGTAGTCACATCCCTAACTGACTGAGACCATAAATTTACAAGAAAAGTGGACATGTTATTAGGGAAAGTAACTGTTATGTTTCTTCTAAAATCATTAAGTGGCTACAATGAGAAGTTATATTTTTTAAAACATGTATGCTTTACACTTAATCCAGAATTACAGTTGATGAAATATATATTTGCAGTATATGTATATATGTGTGTGTGTGTGAAATTCAACCTGAGACAAATTCAATTCAACTGATTCACATCTTTCTAGCTATATTATAACCTATTATTCCATTAAAGCACTATATCAGAAACACCTCATTTAAAAAAAATTTTTTTAATGTTTATTTATTTTTGAGAGAGGAGACAGAGCATGAGCATGGGAGGGGCAGAGAAAGAGAGAGGCAGACACAGAATCTGAAGCAGGCTCCAGGCTCTGAGCTGTCAGCCCAGAACCCAACACGGGTTGAACCATGAGATCATGACCTGAGCCAAAGTCAGACACTTAACCGACTGAGCCACCCAGGCGCTCCAGGAACACCTCATTTTAAAGTTAAATTCCCGAGTAACAGCATGACAGCATAGTACTTCTGGCTTGTGAAGTCTTTGCTATTTAAACAAAACTCAAGAATTATAATAAAAGAATATGAACTTTGAACTTTCCTAATAAAAGAGCTCCATAGTGCCCTCTTCCAAAACCTAAGAAAGATTAACCTCTTTTCAGACAGCATCAGAAAAAGTAGTCAAATATTGTGCTTTTGTATATGTTTGACTTAAATGGCATTTAGGGATAGAAAAGGCAAATTAAGAACATACATCTTTATTTACATAATTTTTGCTTTATGTAAATAACAAAAAAGTCGCCTTCCAAAATAATAGGAAAAAATCCAATCATTCCACACCCAAAAATACCCAGAAGCATAGAAGTAGACCCTTAGGTACATTCTCTGTTTCCCTCATCTCTAGTCCCCCAGACTCTGAGGGAAAGGAAGTCGAGGCATTATCAAGTTCAGAATTGTATTAATTTCTTCTCCTTTGGGTCTAGAGCCATTGGGAAGAGGTAATACTCACACGGCTGACAGGGAGCTGTCTTTCTTTGGCTTCTTCTTTTCCCGGGCATCGCTGAAATCTAGGGCGGCTTTGTCCATACCAAGGAGCTCACTGATTCTGTCCCGGCCATAGAACTCCCCATATTTATCCATAACCTGGGCACAGGAAATAAAACATTTCACTGGCCTCAACCACTCAGTAACCCCTCGTATGCATGCGCATACAAACATCTAATTATTTTGACACTTACTATGTATTGGTCTTATGTTCGAGTTCACTTAAAAATCTCATTTCTGGCTCTTCTTCTGTGATCGCAATGCTTAAGGTCAAAGCAAACTTACAGCACTGTATGTAATACCCACCCGAGGAACAAGATGTCTTAGTCAAGAGAGGGACGCATGCAAAAGGAAGAGGGGGGCCCAAGGAAATAAGTCAAGAAGTGGAAAAAATGGAATGAAAGGAACTTTGACCAAATTCATCCTTTGCGCCAGGAATTATGTAAAGAAATTTGACTTGCTCTCCCTCATGGGACTGTCATATTATGTAAGTCACACTATGTTATCAGCATCCTATTCGGCAGATAAAGACGTTATGTCTTAGAAAACATAACATGCCCTTGGGGCACCTGGGTGGCTCAGTCTATTGAGCATCCGACTCTCAGTTTTGGCTCAGGTCATGATCTCATGGTTCATGAGACCAAGCCCCTCACTGAGCTCTGTACTGACAGCCTGGAGCCTGCTTGGGATTCTCTCTCTTCCTCTCTCTCTTCCTCCCCTGCTTGTGTTCTCTCACAAAATAAATAAATATTTAAAAAAAAAAAAATAAGAAAACGTAACATGTCCAAGCTTGCTAAGCTTGGCAAGAGATGAAATAAGGAAACCACCAAGCGAGATCTGACTCTCAGGAAAGATCTGCACTGACCATCGCCAGCCATGGGCTGGCCACTTGTGACAGCATCCTCCCTGGGCTCTCAGTTACAACCGTTCAACTCTCCCCTAGTTTCCTGACTTAAGCTGTCAGTCCTTCAGTAATCCCCGGAACCTTGTCACCTCCCCCTGTCTTCAGGGCAATCCTTGCTTAGACCCCTTTACACCACCAGAATCCCTTCTGAGCACCTGTCCTCCATTTCCTGGCCCCCCTCTCCCTCTGCCACATCTTCCTGGCTTTGCCCACATGTCCCGTTTTCAGACCGGTGTAGATGTGGGCCCACAGCTTTCCCTTGAGCCCAGGAAGCACAGCCCCGTGACACAGCCACTCTTGGCCTAATGCTTCCATGAGAGTCCCACACACAATGAAAATGGAGACAACGGGAAAAGCAATGAATGAAAAGTAGGAGAGAGAATGGGCCACTAAGGGGAAAAGAGGGTAGGAGAGCAGAGGACGAGGAATGCAGAAGGAAATGAGCACGTGAGGGAAAGGAGGAAGGGGGTTCCCCAGGGAAAGAAGAGAGAGAACGAAGGAAGAAATACATTAATGGAAAGGAAGAAGGGATTAGCAAAAATAAAAATAAGCCTCTTCTGAATGTATACAGTCAAGGTAAATGAAAACATGAAAGAGAAGTCGTAGTTAAAAGCCCATGAACATCACCCCCAAAGGTCTGTTCTGTGTTATTCTCACGGTGCTAAAAACGGGATGGGGTGGCCTGCATGGGCGTTCCCTCTGGGCTGTGTTCTCACCTCACTCCCAGGACAACAAATCAGCACTAAGTATAGTAGGAATGCCACCAATAGTCCCTGCTGCAATTACAGTTTAGTTTTACTTTTTTAAGTTTATTTATTTGAGAGAAAGGGAGCACAAGAGTGGGGGGAGGAGCAAAGGAGAGGGGGACAGAGAATCCCAAGCAGGCTCCACACTGTCAGTGCAGAGCCCCACATGGGGTTTGATCCCACGAACCTGAAGATCATGACCTGAGCTGAAATCGGATGCTTAACTGACTGAGCCACCCAGGCGCCCCTGCAATGACAACGTATTTATTTGACTCTGAATATGCAGTTTCCTTCAGAGAAATCTGTGCTTTAACAATTCAAAGCTTCTTTCTTAAGTAGCTAATGAGAATAAAATGTTCAAGTTACCTATTTAAAATTGTTTAAAAATAAGTCTTTCAAAGCCCTGGCCCAATGTGGATGTGCTCGTATGCAGGAGGGCAGTGCTGCTCAGAATTTCACGTCCCACCAGAAGACAAAACTCTAGTGCCAGAATAAAATCTACAAACACATGACTTCTCTCAATTAGAAAGTCTTGTTATTAAATAGATTTTTTAAAAAAGGTCAACGTGCTTCCTCGTGTACCTGATTTCAGTTCTTGGTGCAAGCCCTCTATCTCCCCTCAGATTGCTAACAAAAAATCTGCTGGTCACCAGTCCTCCTGAGTAACACGGAATCAAAGGGAACAAACAAGAGCACTTCATCTGGCAGATGTTTCTGGCTACTCCAGACGGTACCCATTGGAGCTAGAACTCATTAAGGAGGTGAGTTGAGTCAGGGTGGCAATCAGAAAGGTTCAAAGAATAAGTAGGAGCTAGAATGTAACGCTTTATGTGAATCGCTTTAGTCTTCACATAAAGCAATAGTATTTCATGATCTACAAGTACCGGTACATACATTATTTCATTAAAAGAGACCTGACATTAAAATGCTATGTGGTGAGAAGAGCAGAGAAGATCCTTGACTTTCAAGATCAGAGCAGTTAGCAGGTGCCACAGTTCATCACTGATGCCCTATCATTGTTCTTTCTACTACTCTATGACGCAGTATGCATCAGAAGAATAAAACTTTATGAAAATAAAAAGATCTCCGAAGTTCATGTGAAATAAACAAAACTCAATCCTTTGTTCTCATGCGACGACTCTGCTCCTACAGGGTGAAGTAGGATTCCAGCCCCAGTGATATACAGCTGTCTTATCAGAAAATGGTCGTTAGCCAATTCAGGGGACCCAAAGAAGCTCGGAGAAAATTCTCACCAATTCCTATTACTGTGCGGACTGAGCACCGATTATTCACCTGAGTCAGAGGACAGGTGGATGAAGCAATGCTTATTATTCATTTTATAGCTGCAGAGTATGGGTTCTTCTTTACGTGCAATTTTTGAAATTCATACTGAATTCTATTGCCACTTTGAAATGACATTAAAAGACAGATAAAAGCACACCTCAGTATTTCATTCTCCACACGAGCCATATCAAATTCAAATCTGAATTGCACTCTAGGAAACAAATAGAGAATGCATTCCTTCTGAGAGGTATTACCTTTCTTTTAACAAATTTGTCCCAGTAGTTGTTGGGAAATGACCTAAAAAATATAAAAGCATAAAAGTAAAATAGTATCATTTAAAAAAATGATAAATAACAATATGTTGTTTGGAATAAACAAAATACTTAAAATAATATGTAAACACATATTGTTTCATTCACAAAAATTATAATCAATTTTGTCCCATCTTATCCCATAATTTTCCTATATCAGAGGTACATTAAATATTATGTAAGCGTTAATATATCAATATATACATGCAAATCACAAAAAGACTCCAGGCTAATATTTTAACAGGGAAGAATATGAGCATATTTATTAATAAGTAGCTTGTTGTATTTATTTACATGCTGACACATGTCATTTGTAACATGTCAAATGACATACGTTTCTCTGTCAATTATCTTTAAAAATTAAGGTATCTAAAAATCTGTCATTTTTTTTCTTATAAAGTTAAAAAATCTCATTCCCACGTTATCCTCGAAGAAACTGACCGTGGCACCTGTACTAATATGGACTTCACTTAAAGGGACAGATCTAATTTGACTTAGTATTAACAGCCAGAGTTGACAAATAAAACATTGAGCATTTAGAGTAAACATTTTTAATGCACAAACACATCATCCTCATTTGAAAACTCAGCTTATTAGCAATTTTAACTTCTTAAGAACAAGCAAAACTGATCACAAGAAAAAGATATTTCACACTTGACACACTAGAGTAGTAGAAACTACTCAAAAAATAGTGTATCACTAATACCTTTAGTGGTGGCAAGTTCTACTTTTGTGATGGATTGACCTGGAACAGCTGCTAGGAGTCTGGGTCTTGATCTCACAAGGGTAAATAATTAATGTATAGAAAAAGCATTTGTCTCCCTGCCTTATATTTTACATGTCATAACGTTTAACTAGTTTTATGCTGGGCTGCTGAAAGTTTACAACTTAGATACCTTGAAAGTATGAAATTCAATATTTTTGCCTTCAATGCTACAACTCTTTCCTTAATGAATCATTTTTGCTTCGTCTGGTCTTTTGGATGAGATAACCCCACACTGCAGGTTATGCCCCTCTAGCTACACACTTCTCTGAACATTGAGTAATGGATGTTAAGTTCCATCAGGGCTGTGGAAATGGACCCAAAGCCATTTTTGATTAAGGAATTCGGAACACAGATGGGAAAAAAATTGATAGCATCCATTAAGAGGCTGACAGTGCTTAGTCTTTTGATTTTCTTGGCCAAAAATATAACTATTATTCACCTCTGCTAAACTTTTGACAAATCTGCAGGAACTCCAGCAAAATTTTTGTTTGTTTGTTTGTTTTTTGTCTTGAAATTTTTGAGCACAGTAATGTCTCATATAATTCTTTACTCACTGTGTGTTGATTACGAGTCGATCCCACTGGCCTTTAATATCATCTTCTGAAGGCTGTTCTGTAATATAAAGCCCATCAAATTCCAATTTTCGAGCTACTTCCTTTTCTCGCTTAAAAATAACCAATGGGACCTACATTTGAAAAAAATAAACATGTTAAAATTAGTTTAGATTTACTGGCATCTCCTGTGGTTGCTATCTTTACAAAACAGCTTCTGGAAAAAGAAGTATTTCCCATGTTACTTCCAGGAAGGTAAAATTGAGTGAAAATGAATTGGTTATATTTAGGCAGAAAGTAACATCTAGAGGTTTAGGAAAAAAAGAAGATAGAATAGATACAGTTTATAATCATATGTTTTTAAACACATAGAAGTTCATAGATAACTACACTGAAGAAATCACTTTTATGTATTAAAGAGAAAAAGATGTATTATATCTTTTATTATGATATACTTAACATACATCTTTATATATGTGAAACATGAACGGATACAATAAAATACAGCAATGTTACTAATGTTCCAAAATGCATGCTTCTAAAAAGTGCAGTGTTATTTGAGAAATCTCTTTAATTATTCCACACTCAGCATGCCCATATGCTATTTTGAAATAAATTTTAATTCCAGCATCAGCAAAAATCTTTGTCAGCTAGCCAAAATGTTTCCAGAACATATTGGCTCTCTTTTCATATGGACAGATTTTACAGAAGGCACGGATACAAAAAAGAGGCAGACGTTCTAGAAAAATCCAAGAATACTTCCCCTGTCCCCTCTTAATAAAACAAAGGAAAGACAGGGAAGGGAAAAGAATTTCTGAAGAAAATTTTACATTCTAGGCTTTCACCCTGGGCTCTGGCTTTTCAAAAGTCTTCTGGAAGCTTCACAATCTGACGTAGGAGACAATGAGATAAAGGCATTACCAAGAAAAGGTGTCTCGCTAGGAAAAAATAAAGAGGTTTGCAAAGGTAATGGGCAGCCCTGGGCATTCGGAGACCATCTTGAGTTCTGTTCACCAAGTTATATTACTCTCTTGGTAGGGCTCTGGGCATAGAGCTGCATTATTCTCTGGGTGAAGGTTGACAAACTGTGGTCTTTCTGCCATTGATGGCATTAGGTAGGTGCCTAATGACTCATAGGTTCCATATGATGTATTATATAACTCTAAAACAGTGGAGCATTGCTAGGGGACATGGTAGGTTATTTCTGTGGGGCCAAGATTTGATGAAAAGGGTAATTATGTAAATAATTGCCAATATGTGACAGGGAGCTATAACAAGACAGCCCAGGGCCACAGGCCCTTCCCAGGACAGCCTGCAGTCAACGACTGGTCAACATGGAGCTCTGAAGGCCAGGTTCCAGTGCCCCAGCCCAAGACAGCCCTGCAGGGGCATCCCAGCTTCAGGGACTGAGGCTTGTGTGTGTGCTCTGTTGTATCTGAACCACAGCCCCACTTTGTCTTCTGTTCCACCCTGCTTCTTCTCCTTGCCCCACGGGTGTTGATTCGTGGAACATTCCCTAATAATCTCTGTGCAGGAAATTCCCATCTCAGAGTTTGCTCCCCCAGGAGTCCAACCTGCAAAAGACATGCGCAAACACGGACACACACAGGTACCTTGGTGCCTTACTATCTTACTTTCAAGCAGTAGTAGCCGATGATGCAGAAGAAAGAAATGACCGTGTGAAGAATGGCTAAGATCCGCAGCGTGGGCTCCATGTAGCCGCTGCTCTCCTCCAGGACGTAGTGAACCGCGATGATTCTAGGCGAGCCACTGTCCAGGCTGCTAACTTTGGCATTTCCACTTGAACTGCGAGTGGGGGGCTCCTTTCCTTCAACCACAGAAGAAGTGGAGACCTGATTCAAACCATTTAAAGTAGAGTCAGTTCACTCCCTCTAAGGGACCGGCACACACAAGAAACAATGGAAACCCAGCCTTCTCAGCAGAGAGCCAGATATGAGGCTCAGGTACCATGAAAAGACTAAAAGCAAAGGCTAAAAATAAAAAGATAGCTTTTCGGAAGCTGATGGCCTATAACGAGCACACCCTTTAAAACACCTCCTAATCTGAGCAAGAGTTAGGAGGAGTCTAATGCATGCAGGAGAAAAATCAGATGGCTAGGCTGCCTTCTCAGGTACCAAATGAATTTAACGTAATGAGGGTGTGCCACACCCAGATATGGTACCAAGGGGGGTACGCAGCCAAATCAGGCTAGGGACACTGGGTAAACCCCGTACTACATCAAACACTCTTTAGTTGAGGTATTTCCTGCTTAGTTTGGAGGAACAAGTCTGCTCCTGCCTTACTAGACCGTCAGTGATGTGCCTGAGCTCTAGGTTTTTTCCTTTCATCAAAACATATCTTGAAAGAGATTTACATGTGCTCATTGGCGAATGTGTGAATTCTGCACACGCAATCCAACCCATCTGTGGTTTCGTACTGGTTCCTGAAACATAAAGATGTACGTACCTTATAAAAGAGCAAGATGAAATTGATTGCAAACGCGACGAATAAGGCTAACATTCTCATGTTGTAAAAGTTGCGAGCAAAATAGTTCTGAAAAAAACGATGAAAATTAAGGTCACTGAATGAAGAGATTGACACGTGCAGACAATTTAAAGCATTCATTCATCTGCCCCAAACTACTTCTTGAGAGCCTACTCTGCATCCAGTAACGTTCTTGGAGCTGTAGACGCAACAGTGAGGGAGTACGTTTGGGCCACCACGGAGGAGGTACACATCCGCAGATGAAAGACAAAATCTAGTTTCAGAGGATGCTAAATGCTATGAAGAAAAATCCATCAGGTTACAGGCTTGGGGAACAGGGCTGCTATTTTAGATAGGTGGTCAGGGAAGGTTTATTTTAGGAGGTTATGTATAAGCAGAGGCCTAAATACATAGGGAAGAGGTCAAGTGAACAACTGGGGGCGGGGGGGCACATGTGTCAGAGAGAGACAGTGCGTGGGAGGGGGCGAAGGTTCTGAGTTCGGAGTGACGATGTGCTTGAGGGATAGTAAGAGAAAAGCAGGGAGGAGACAAGGGCATGGGAAGGAATGAGGTCAGAGAGGTGAGGGGCACAGGTTTACAGGCTTCTGACAGAAGTCTGTGACGTCCCTTCCAGTGCTGTGGGTTGGGGTATGACCTCTGGGGCCATGCTGCCCAGCTGTGAAGCCCACCATCACCACTCAGTCGTTGCAGGTGTAGACAAGCAATTAACCAGTCCTGCAGACTCAATTTTCTCATCTGTAAAGTGGGCAGAACGACAGAATCCTTTCTCAGAGGTTTGCTCTGAGGATTAGGTAAGTTCACTGAGGGAAAGTTAGTTATTACTCTTATTATTATTATGGGAATTATTATTGTATTCCAGGTGGGATGGTAATCTAGTGGAGGATCTGAAGAGGGCTTGATACCACTAGATTATGATCTGGAAAGATTACTCCCACCGCTGTGTGGGAAACAGATAGGAGGCAAGAGTGGAAACAAGGGGACTAGTTAAGAGTTACCAAAGGACAGCAGAAAGGGATGTTATGGATGGTGGTGGGTTGGCTCAGGAAGGGACTGTGGAGATAGTGATACTGAGCAGACTCCAGATATACTTGGAAGACAGAACTGGGAAGAATTACCACTGGGTTGGATTTGAGGCAGGAAAGAGAGAGAGGACTCAGGGATGGTAACTTCTGGATTTTGGGGTCCGAGTAACTCAGTAAGTGGTTGGTACCATTTACTGGCTGGAAAAAAGTAGGAGGGGAAGTAGGTTTAAGGAAAAAGACTATAGGAAATATAAAATATTTGTTTTAATATTAGGTGGGAGAGGTCTACGAGGTATCCAAGTGGATATGCCAGGGGCTTTAGCAGAATAGGTCATGTCAAAGTGACCAACACGCGCCATTGTTGGTCTCCATGGACACACTCCATTTGGGTGGTGTCATCTCCCACACGAGACCCTGACTTTACTGCCGTGGCTTATTGGACGAAGGCAGGCTGCCACACCCAAACCGGCCCAGTCACATTGGTTGTCCTCGTGGAAGGCTAGAGTCGGGTCACGGAGGCTGAATTAGTGACCTTGTTTATCTGAGCTGGGAGGTCACAAAGACTTGAGGGACAAGGGGCCTGTGGTGGCCTGATGTGGCCATGACTAGCCTTGTGCATGCAAACTGGTGAACAGAGAAAGTCATATATAGGAAACAGAAGCAGGAAAATAGGACTGCAGAGAGAGAAGAGAACATAGCGGACAGGTGGAAGACAACCCTCACTGACTTGCTCTACACAACTGTAGTGAAACAGAGTCTTCAGGAATTCACTAGGGCTATGGCAGCTTATTGGGGCCCGTTCAACCTCATGCCCAATACCATCTACACTGGCTACGTCTGCAGCTATGGCAACTATTACAACATAGCGAATCAGCGATTATCCAGAGTGATCTACAAACCATTTACATTTAATACACTTTCCCACAACGTAGGGAAAAGGCAAGATAGTTGAAGAAAACATAGTTGAAACTATTAATTAAAATATATGTTCGCATAAATTATATAAAAATGCGTAATATTTATTTCTACATAGGCAGTTAGAATACATAATTACCGAGGACAATTCACGTCCCTTATAGACACAGTGCCGTAGTATACTGAGTTTCTTATCTACTTTTGATTTCTCAAAGGCTGTAAAACACTAAATATGATTTTGACTTTCAAAGGGCTTTATTAGGAGCAGCACTGGTCTTCGTTTCTAGGTCTGATATTATTGGTCAGTACCTTTTAGAGGTTGAATCTACATGCTCTTCTTCAAAAAACCGTATATACTGTAATTATACATACATACATAAAAAAGGCCTTTCAACCAAAATTTTTAAGAATGCCATCTTCTGTAAATATGAATAAAGATAGAGAACTATACCTTCTTTCTTTGTTTTTCAAATATGAACATGCATTTAATTAATTTGGGGAGCATTTCTGCAAAATGCATAGGATACTACGTAAAGAACTGCCTTCTCTCTTTTCATTCGTTGGTTTTTACTTGTTTTTACTTAAAGAATAATTCTGAACAGACCTTCTTAGTATCAATGGAGAGTTGACTCGTTGCATTAATACTTGCATAGCTGGATTTTTAATAAAAAGATGATGTTCTAGAAAAATCGATGAATCCAGCTCTGGAACTGCAATCCGAATTACTTATACCCTCAGGTATGTTTTTGCTTTAATGGCCTGCAGACCCTGGAACAGTGTCCTGCAGAGTGGAGCTTCAGGGGGTATTTACTAACTTGCCCTAAAGTCTTACTGGGAACACTCTGGATGCACTGTGCTGGCAGTCACTAAATCACATGGCTTCAGGGAAGGTGGATGTGGTGGAGGTTATGGTTTGAGGACAGGGAGCAGTGGGCCAAAGGCACTTATTAGAAAATATAAACACGCTCAGGCGAGCAAAGAAAACATACTTGCGGGGCTGACTCGTCCCCTGATTGCCACCCAAGGAGAGGTCGGTGAATGTTTACTGGGCCTGAATGATTAGGGTCTCACAATATATCAATAACAATATTCACTGTAAAACATCTTACTAGAAGTTTCTGTTGATATGCGATGATTTTCTTCCAGAATGCCGACTCGGGAACTTCTGGCTCTCCGTATCTGTGTGTATGGAGCTGCCTCAACTTCTGTTTACCCTTATCTTCTTTGGCTTTTTCTTCTTTTTCTCCATCTTCTCCCCTGTGAACACAAATGAATAAAATACAAGCCATCCAGGAGCTACAGATATAAACAGGTTTTGTGCCAAATTACGTAAATGGATATTTAAATCATGGCATCACTTGGGGCGCCTGGGTGGCTCAGTCTGTTGAGCGTCTGACTTCAATTCAGGTCATGATCTCGCAGCTTGTGGGTTCAAGCCCCGTGTTGGGCTCCGTGCTGACGGCTCGGAGCATGGAGCCTGCTTCGGATTCTGTGTCTCCCTCTCTCTCTGCCCCTGACCCACTCACATTCTGTCTCTCTCTCAAAAATAAATAAACATTAAAAAAAATTTAAATCACAGCACTGCTGTTGGAAACTAGTTTCTCTTCCAGTGCATTATAATATCCAGAATTTTAGAATGAGGGGTTGGATTCCTTGCCTATCATAGGCTCCCATTGATGGATAATTCTGTGACATTCAAATCTAAAGGGATGTTTGTTCAGCATCGTTCTTCATCAGGGAAATACAAACCAAAGCCACAGTGAGATACCACCTCACATTGGTCAGAGTGGCTAAAATAACAACTCAGGAAACAGTAGATGTTGGCAAGGATGTGGAGAAAGGGGAACCCGCTTGCACTGTTGGTGGGAATGCAAACTGGTGCAGCCACTCTGGAAAACAGTGTGGAGGTTCTTCAAAAAATTAAAAACAGATCTACCCTATGACCCAGAATAGCATTACTGGGAATTTATCCAAAGGATACAGGAGTGCTAATTCATTCGGGCACGTGTACCCCAATGCTTATAGCAGCACAATCAACAATAGTCAAATTGTGGAAAGAGCCCAAATGTCCATCAACTGATGAATGGATGAAGAAGATATGGTGTGTGTGTGTGTGTGTGTGTGTGTGTGTGTGTGTGTGTGTGTATGGAACACTGCTTGGTATTCCAGTATAATGGGATACTACTCGGCAGTGAAAAAGAATGAAATCTTGCCATTTGCAACAATGTGGGTATTATGCTACCTGAAATAAACTAGTTAGAGAAAGACAGGTATCATATGATTTCACTCACATGTGGAATTTGAGAAACTGAACAGAAGACCATAGGGGAAGGGAAGGAAAAATAAGTTACAAACAGAGAGGGAGACAAACCACAAGAGACTCTTAAAGACAGAGAACAAACTGAGGGTTGTTGGGGTGGAGGGCTGAGAGAGTAGGGGAGGTAGGTGATGGGCACTGAGGAGGGCACCTGTTGGGATGAGCACTGGGTGTTGTATGTAAGTGATGAATCACGGGCATCTACTCCTGAAGCCAAGACGAGGCTGTATGGTAGCTAACTTGACAATACATTAAAAAATAAATAACTACAGGGCATCTTACAGGTTTGAAGTGTCTTTACGGCTCTATGTACCACATTCCCTTCCAAATGTGCAATAAAAACATTTAACTGAAAACAGAATGACAATGAAGACACTTTTTTTTTTTGCTGTGACTTCCCAATAACCTTATTTTTAAATTGTGATTTTAATGTTCAGTTTTAACACTGACCTGCCAATAGGACTTAAAATCAGAGGCATATGCATTTGGCGGTTCACATACATAAAGCATGTCAACATATTAATGATGGAATCAGAAGTACTGAAAGTTGACCGTCTACCCCTTCTAGATGCAAAATACCAATCCTTCATGAAAGCATATTTATGGGTAGTCATATAAACATATATACACGTTGTCACATAAACATAACCCCAACCTGGATGACATATATCTAACATTATTTTTAACATGAAAGAATTGCCACAGAAACAACGGTTGTGACGTTAGATTTCACTATAACAAATCATCTACGTGGCCGTTTTTATAACCGACCCAACTGTGCGGGCTTCTTCGACAATAAACAGAGATGACTGTAAGGAAGAGCCCACGAAAACACGCCAAAGAAAACAACGGAGGGGAAAGTAAAAATGCTGTGTGAGCATAGTAGCACTTAGAGGTACTTAAAATTTTACTTCGTTGATTTTTAAAAGTGTGCCTATGAAATTATTTAAACTGGGTGAAAGCTAGAGGTTTCCATGATTAACAGAGGTTTCCATGATTAACAGAAAGCCAGTGTTATGGGGAAGTGACCCATTTTTATGGCTCCACACCCAGCTCTTTCTTTCTTACTGCCACAAAGGCAACTGTGCCCCGCAGCAGGAGTGTGGGTAAAACTGAAGACTTCTGGGTTCCACACCAGACATGCTGAATCAGCATCCCTGTGGATCTCGCCACTGTGCATGTGGCTCTGGGGCTATGCTTTGGGGGGATGGTCACTGCTGGGATTCTGGGCAATGGCATTCAGAACGTTTGTCTCCTCCCTGGCTCATAAGGACAGAAGTCCTGCCTGATTTTGAGCACAGAACTGCAGCAGTGAGTGACCTTGAGGAGAGCATCCCATGGAATCGCTGGAGCCATTTCTGCTGAAAGGGAAATGCACAAACAGAATCCTCATGGAACAAGGAGGAAGAAATGGAGTGGCAGCTGGGGGGGGGTCCTCCCCCCAGAGCTTCACCTCAAGAATGGCAGACTTCATCAGAGAGCAAGACAGACTGTCCCCCAAAGAGAGGGAGAGTGCAGGTAAATCAGACTTACTGAAACAAAGGCACATATACAGAAATTACACATACTCGGCCTTTTCAGGTTCAGATTTGCTTTCTTCTTTCTCCTCCTTTTCTTCCTCTTTCACCTTCTGTTCCTTGAATGGGCCAAGGGGGAGAAAGAAATCGGGGTTACACATCACCTCTGAATGAGTTTAGGGAACCCCGTGACCCCGTGACAAATCACAACCTACCAAGGATACCCTCTCGCCTTCACGGAGATGAAGGTGCCAGGCACACCCTTCATTCTAGTCTAAACTCTTGCCCCTTCTTCTTCACTCACACCTCCCACATCCACCTACTCGATCCTTATTCACCCTTCAAGGCAAACTTAAGTGCCCCCCTCTTAAGTTGCACTGAGCTACTCCAAACCAAAGTGATGTTTCCGTTTTGTTAACATACATGACCTCTACTATCTAGTGCCCGCACCATTTAACACTTCATAATTTCCTAGTTCCTTCATGAGTGTTGGTTATATCTTCCTAATAAACTCTTTCAGGCCATTTGAAAGCAATGACCACATCCCCTATCTCCTTTAATGTCCTATGTTACCCAGCGGCATTAGGCACCTGGTAAAGACTCATAAAATATCTGTGGATGGAATGACTGCCCAGCTGACTCCTGTCATTAGGGTGAGGACTTGAGCTTACGCCCTAACAGTTTAAGATAATTCAGTAATTTGCCAAGTATCATCATAAGGCAAGCTTTGCCTACCAAGAGCCATTTCCCTTTGGAAACCCAACTCACGTATATAACACCACTCTGGCACTAGCACGAAAACTGATGTGGACTTCGTTTATCATGCCTAGAGAGGTCCAGAGAGTCAATTACCTGAAATTTTTCTTGCACGTCAGGGATAGGGACCGGGTTGCTCATTAGATCGCTGAGGCCGGCGTTTGGATTATGAGGAATAAGTTTGTACTGTCCTCCTTCTCTCTTCAGATCCAAGCCAAATATGTCCGAAAGAAGGTCGCTTTCCTCTGTCAGTTCCTTCAGGTCTGTCAGATCTTCCGAGGGCAGGGCGGCCTCCATGGGCCTCCTGTCCCCCTCTTCTCCATCCCCTCTCACCTCATCCTGAGTGGGGTCTGGCATGTTGGCTAAGAGCTCTGCCACTCGGATCTTTTTTGCTCCTTCTACTAGGCTCCCGCCAAGCAGCAGGCTGCAAATGATGCGGAAGAAGCCTCTGGAAACGCTGGCCACAAAGTGCAGGAGGCTCAGGAAAATACTCCAGTAGGACGAAAAGGCGGCCGTGACCATATCCTTCATCGTCATCTTCTTCACTTTTTTCATCTGTTTCTTCAGGCTCTTCAGGCTGAGCATTCTCATGAGGGTCAAGATATTATACCTGAGAGCAAACAGGGCCGACTTGACCGTCACGATGGAAAAGAAACCCATTCTGGGCCCCTGCTCTTCCGGCTTCTCCTTCTCACTCTCTTCTTTATTCGCTGACCTCTCATTCAAATCCGACTCTGAGATCTGCGCTGCCAGCTGCATTTCGAATATGGTGTCCTCACAGAAGTTGACAAAAAGTTCCATTTTCTCCTTTTCTCCCCCTTCGTTGACCACATCAAATATGAACTGCCTCTTGGACTCCTTGACCTGGGGCTTCTCCCACTGGGTTCGGCTGGACTCACTGATTTCAAAATACACCCTCTCGATGCGCTTGGCACTTCCCATGATCTCGATGCGGCCCAGAAAAGGCTGGAAGTAATTCAGCACGCTCTCTGCCAACTCCAGGAAAGTCTGCAGTCGCGTATCATTGGGCATGTGCTCCGAAAGGTTGGTCAGAAGAACGGCCACATTGAAGCCGATGTCCTTTGCGGGCTCGTGAAACCTTTTGACAAACTCTTCATAGTCCAGGGTTTCGTTCTCATCTGTCTCCGCACAGGACAGAAGAAACTCGGTTTCTGATTGCGTGTAGTGTTTATGGCTCTCCATCGCTTTATGGAAGTCCCTCTTGGAAATGACTCCCTTGCCGTCAGGGTCGTATTCTTTAAATGTGTCAGAAGAGGTCAAATCCTTTAGTTTTAAGAACATGTCAAAAAACTTGAGAATCATCTCCACGTTGTTGGAAGACTCCACAAGCATATCGACCATCTGTTTGCCAATGGTTCCATTGACAACATTACCTGGTGGTAAAGAATGGCACGTGTTCAGAATGAACATTACTGATAAAACCAGTGTCTGGCGAGGAAATGACCATAGAAGCCTCAAATGACATCTGAATCAAGGACGCCTCCTTGGTTATCATCTACCACATGAAGTCTCAGGAAACGATGGATAGTTATGCGTAAACCCTACTTTAAAAGAGTGATTACATAAACACGTCAAAACCATATTTACAAAGTAGTCAGACTAACGGGAGTAAATCAAGATTTGAAAAAAAGCTGGGTTTTTTTCCCCCTCAAATTGATCGAGGAGGCAATATATTTTAGGATAGAGAAAATGGGGGAAACATTTATATCCTAAAGCCAGAAACTGAAGTCCAGTTTCATGTTAATAATAAAAATGAGCATTTGGACAGCATTTTAGGACTGAAGAATCACTATTCATAGAAAATATGTGATTTAATGTTCATATGTTTGTGAGGCAGATACTTTTTATTGATTCTGATTTTACTATTGAGGAAACTGAGGTTTAGCAAGGCTAAATGAACGTGCCCGTTGTGACATGATTATTGAGGGTGAGTGCCAGGGCATCAACGTGATCCTCTGAAAGCAAATTATATGCTCTTTCTGATTTACAATATAAAGCATCTCCCGGCATTTCTTCATGGTCGAGAATATTTATTGTAGGAAAATGGAAGATCATTGATAAGCGTGAGAAAATTAGATATTATCCTAAATTATAGAGTCACAGAAAGCTTTTATCCATTGAACAGAATGTGCTATGTAACATAAAGACAGACATCAGAAAAAAGACACGTGGTGAGGTCTGCTGAGTCCATTTGCGCAGCAATAAACACCGTGGCCGAGAACGTGGGCTCAGGAGCCACACCGTTAGGTTGGAATCCAGGCTCATCTACAAGCTGAGCAATGTGGGCAGATTTCTTAGCCTCTCTGTGCCTTGGTTTCCTCATCTGCCAAACAGTGGTAATACTACCAAAGCCATAACCTTGGTATTAGGATTAAATGAGTAGCTGGTATATTAAAGTGGGTGAATTTGGGGCATCTGGGTGGATCAGTCGGTTAAGCACCTGACTTCAGTTCAGGTCATGGCCTCACAGTTAATGGGTTCAAGCCCCATGTTGGGCTCTGTGCTGACAGCTCAGAGCCTGGAGCCTGCTTCGGATTCTGTGTCTCCCTCTCTCTCCCCCTCCCCTGCTCACATTCTGTGCGTCTCTCTCTGTTTCAAAAATAAACATTAACAAAATTTTTTAAAGTTTATTATAATGGGTGATTTTTTTTTTTTATTTTTTTTTCAACGTTTATTTATTTTTGGGACAGAGAGAGACAGAGCGTGAACGGGGGAGGGGCAGAGAGAGAGGGAGACACAGAATCTGAAACAGGCTCCAGGCTCTGAGCCATCAGCCCAGAGCCCGACGCCGGGCTCGAACTCACGGACCGCGAGATCGTGACCTGGCTGAAGTCGGACGCCCAACCGACTGCGCCACCCAGGCGCCCCAGTATAATGGGTGATTTTTAAGTTGTCACGGATGCAGTCACAGCTGCTCCTGCAGTTATGAGTGTCATTACTATTTTCTAGACTAAAATGTGATATGAAGTCATGGTAAAAGAGTCCTGTGCCCAGAGGGCATACAGTGGCTGGCACATAAGGGTTTCTGCAAATGTGGCATCTTTGAAGTCCTAGCACAAGGCACACCTCCTGCCTCAGTTAATCAAAGTGCAGTTATGCAAAGCACAGTGGACTAAGAAACAGGGAGAGAAAAATTAGGAGGGGTTCAAGAAGAAAGGGGAGGTAGCAACAGCAAACGTGTTTTAGGTGGGTTTGGTCATTTTCACGTGATTTCACCAATTTTGCCCATCGGTCTATCGGTACCCCCGTGTCACAGAGGAAGGAACTTGAAAACGGAGATGGAACCAGCGCTAGCAAGGGTCACACTGCTAGCAAGTGGGAAAGCGGGGACTTGAACGCAAGCTCTCGAGCACCACGTTTACTGCCTGACCCAGAAGAGACATGGGGCAGGAAAGCAAGACAAGTTGGAAAGAGAGAAGACAATGAGAGAATGTGAGAGCTCCCACAGGCATGCGTGGGAGAACAGGACTGCCGCCAGCAGCCACCGTGGGGGATGATGTCCTCTCTTCTTCTCTTATAGGCCATGAAGGACCCACGGGAGTCACCATGCAGCCAGCTCAAGGCAGTGGTTTATACTGTCGGGCTTTATCCACATGCCTGTAATGCCCAAGGATTACAAACCAATGGACAAAACAAATAACGTCTTCATATATACTATGTCTGGAGAGCGTGTTCTTTAGGATATCACTAGGAAATGACAAGTGTCCCTGTAAGTTACCACTGGTTTCATCTCCCAGCTATATAAGCTGAGATATGCAAGATATCTCTTAAAAAATAACCTTGAGAAAACAGTAATAAAGTCAGCAATAAATCCAAGCTATCCGTCACATCTCAGCATTGATATTTTATGCGTTGCAGTACGCTGACTCCATAAGCAAGCACATACTGATCCTTGAAATCGAAGGCTAATGGGAACTTGAAAATGTAAATCAAAACTACCTTCTAGCATGGACAGCAACATGACCACCATATCCTTCTGAAGATCCATTAATTCTTTTAATAGCTCGATTTGACTGGAATCCTGAAAATATTAATATATGTTATATTAACGTATAACATATAATACATGACATAATACATAACGTGTACATTGCATTTTAGATAATATGAGAAGACTATGTAGCAAGAACACTGTACTTGTTCTCACAAAGAGAAGTGCTTTGCCAACTGTAAACACTTTTCAGAAGTGTAGAACTAAAGAAAGGTCAAGCATAAATATGCAGCGTATTGTAAACAGATACAACTGTAAATTGTAAAACTGTAAACAGAAACAATTCAGAATTAGTACTTACTACTGATTCTATCTCATTTTATTAAAGTATGTGTGAGGACAACAAACGAGTCTAACATGGGCACAGCAGCAGGTTCTCCAGGGCCAGGGAAGACTCAGGCGCCTCTGGGCATTAGACAGGTTTCGTTTACTTGAAGGCTATACTCATCTTTCTTTCCTCCTAACTTATTACACAGAAATGCTGTATGTTTTATAAAAATTAACTTATTCTGGAAAAACACGCCTAACAGTGATAGGGACATAAATTTATTTTATATAAATCTAACAAAAATTTACTCAAGTACCACCTACAGGAATAATGTATAATGTATCTTATCTACCAGTTTTATTAAACTCCTTGATATTTCTCTGGTCAAGATTTTCTGGATTTTTTCTTTGTTTATGTTTGCCTTTGATTTTTCACCATGGAAAATTCTTTTACAAAGGTATGCTGTGTCCAAACAACACAGAACATACTTAGGTTGACATTACAACATTATGGGTCATCAAATTTTACTTTTAAACTATGCCTTGTTTCCTTGTAAAAGATTATACAAGGTATCGTTTTGATCATTTAGATTTTGCTCTACATAAGGTTATTTCTTTCTACAGAGTGTCCCCTTGACTAGGTCTACAAACTGAACAACTACCAGGTAGCACCAGATGTTAATAAAGTGATGGAAATACACCAGAACGAGAACTCTCTTTTGAGTGTATAAATTTGGTTCCTGCTGGTTTCCTTTACTTACTAAAGTGCCGTAAGTGATTAGATGAAAGGATCACGTTATTCCCTTATATATGGGGGAAGTCACCAATAACCAGCTGTTGACAAAACTCTAGCCAAGCTGCTCTGAATCCTCTTCCCAACTAGACTCCAAACTTGAGCTTTAAAGACCTGAACAAAACCCTAATAGGGGTTAACTGGCTCGAGGCCGCATCCCTAGCATGACCCTAGCCCACCTTAGATGGCCTGCCTGGAAAAACTCAAGGCTGCCAAAAAAATCTCCCGTCTGTGCCAGCTGACACCCGGGGACAGGGTCTCCTCTCCCAGTATCTGTGTGAGGGCAACTGCCAGCCTGCAGACAAGCTGGCCCCATCGCGTCTGTACCGATCGACCGTTTGTAATCTCTCCCTTACAGCCTCTACTGACCTTCTGCCTACTCCCTCACTCTCCCTTAAAAATACCCAGTCACCTCCATACAAATCCAAGTGGAGCTCAGGTCACGCTGGACTCTTTTCCCCGCTGTGACGATTATTTCTGATTAAAACCTGCCCTCATTGCTTCAACCAGTGCCTGGCTCTGTTGCTCTTTGACAATACGCTCCTGCTTACAGGCCGCGGTGGAGGGGGGCGGGGGGCAAGCCCAAGTGTCCTCACTTCGCTGGAGGAAAGGGAGCTGGCACACACTAACTGGACGCACGAATGTCTTCTGGTCTGAACTCCATCATTCTTTCCTCCCCCTGACACCCGCGAACACCCACACCCAGGCAGGTACATCAGATATCAGGACAGATCATCTAAGTGCGCCCTATCAAAGGGACACATTTACTCAAGATTGATGTCGAGAATTTTTCCATTCGTGTATCTCTTAGCTTCAAATGAAATAGATACAGTAGTGAGGAAATAATATGCTGATATTTTCAATATGCACTCCCAAGTTAACATTAAAACACAGGTGGACAATCTGTCTATTCTTTATGTGCTTGTCCTCAGATACTTTTTCTCTTTGACTTTCATGAAGTTAAATGTGCTGTTAATGAATGAACGTCATCTGTTGAGAACAGCTGCTTGTTAATGACTCAGCAAGGAAACTGTCTCTCTTTCACCAGGGATTTGCAGATTACAAATCCTTTTTCAATTACCTGGAGGAAGGAGGAAAATTCTAGTGAGTAATCACCAGGAAGTGGGTCTCTGAAGGATTGCAAAATAGACAGTGTTTGGGAACGATTCTATTTCTCCATTATAGTCAACTCCTTCATATCTTTTGTTCTCAAATTTGAATGATGGCTCCCATATATTTTCTGCTTGCATAAAATTATTCTATTGAAAACTTTTTTTTTTAAATATGGAGCGAAAGGTATATAAAGAAGTGACCTAAGAAAGATCATATTCAAACAAAGGAAAGCAGGTTGAGTATACAGATGACTACTGTCCCTTGCGCGTTGGGATGGGGAAGAGAGTTTACCTGAGACAGCTTCATCTGCATGTGGGCGAATACGTGAAGGAAGCCCACAACTGCGTCCCATAGCCTGCTGTGGGCCAAGCTCTGCTGATTCCCAGTGCAAGGACCCTGGACCGGAGACAGACACACAGCGATCATCCCCGGGTAACCGAACTGCCAAATCAACTTTACAACAATAGGGAGGAACAAAATTAACTTAGCGTTTACATATCACCAACATGGTATCTGGAAAAATAGGAACCCAAATGAAAGATCGACAGTGGTGATAATGGCAGAGTACCCTCAGGGGGTAAGTATATTCTCCTTTGAAATGTTTAGTGTAATAAATCCAAAGACAGTTCCTCAAAGACATTCATGTTCTGTTTCTGCATGCACAATAAAATAGAGACAAAAAAAAAAAAAGAATGATGAAGTCTTTCATTTTTGTCTGGCTTTTAGTTTCTTTGACTTAGAGGAAGAGGGTAAGGTCCAGGTCTTTGGGTTATAAGATGAAAGCAATCAGACTTACTACCTGGTGTGAAAAGGGTCTGCGATTCAGCTTCAGATAAGAGGCAATTATTTCTTATCGCTAAATAGTAACCTGGACAAAGCATCCCCATTGAGGAAAACTCCTCTTCAATGCTTTCGTAAGTGTACGGCTATTTTACCGATCGCACAACCACTGAGATTTTAAAAGATTATTAGTTGATCATTACATTCACCAACCCGGAATACACGGCAAGTGGAACCTAACTTTGCTGTCTTAGCTCATACTTCGGAAGCGATCTTCATGTGATACTAGGGAGCACGTGTTGTAGCAGGCACAATGCTTGAATGGAGACAGTTTCTATTTTTATTTCCAAAGAAAGATTGTGCAATCACCAAGTTTTGCAAACATACCTACATCAACCAGGGGAATAAATAACAGGGATTTTGTCTATTTCTTAAAATTTTTTTTCACATTTATTTATTTATTTATTTATTTATTTATTTACGAGAGACAGAGAAAGACAGAACTCAAGCAGGGGAGGGGCAGAGAGAGAGGGAAACACAGAATCTGAAGCAGGCTCCAGGCTCTGAGCTGTCAGTGCAGAGCCCAACTCGGGCCTCAAACTCACAAATTGTGAGATCATGATGTGAGCTGAAGTCAGACGCTTAACTGACTGGGCCACCCAGGTGCCCCCAGGGATTTTATTTTTTTTAAAAATGTGTGTATACACACACACACACACACACACACACACACACACACACATTTCTTAACTTTCAATTCATTCGTTCCTTTTGACAAATGAGTCCTAATGAGTTTCGGTTTGAGAGACCATTAAAACATGTTGCAGATTTCACTCTAGAAACAAGTGACCAGGGGAGATGTGCACAATGAAGATGCTGATGAGATGCTGACATGGGACTCTGTCCTGTGTCAGCGTCTCTTCTCTCCTAAAACTGACAGTGAAAGACAGTGAGTGCCAGGTACCTCCACATTTCCAAAGCAAGGGGCTAGACGAAGTTCATGCAAACGAGGAGACTAAATAGACCTTTCGACCCTAAGGATATAAAGGGGACGAAGTTGAAAAGGGAGAGACTCGGGAGAGCTGTCTGCGCGCTGGGCCGCTGGGCGTCTCCCCCTTCCACCTCTGCTGTGTTGCAAGGGCAGACACACCCCGCGAGCCGGGAGCCGTTGAGAGAGCCACCCGGCGTGCCTGGTGTCTGTCTCCAGAAACTGTGAAAGGCACAGGGGCACCCGGGTGGCTCAGTCGGTGAAGCATCCGACTCTTGATTTCGGCTCTGACAGCACAGAGCCTCTTTGGGATTCTCTCTCTCTGCCCGTCCCCCACTCACATGCTTGCTTTTTCTCCCCCTCTCTCTCAAAATAAATAAGTAAACTTATAAAAAAATGTGAAAGGCACAAAGTGACCAAAAAAAAAAAAATTTTGTCTTTCTCATATGGGTTACTAAGGAGGAAGAGTTCCCGTCCGTCCAACGAGACTGGAATCTTGTCCAACAAGACTGTCTGGAAGAGTGATGTGGTTCCAAGGCAGATAGACAGAGGCCGCCGCACGCACAGGGTCTGGGGAGTAATTTGAAACTGGGTGGGCAAACAGGCGTGTCCAGGCGCTGGAAGCAGTCAGTGGGCTGAGCCCACGAATGAACACGAGATGCCACAGGCCATGCTCCACTGTGCACTCCTGAACCAAGGAGGAAGGAAGACCTCCCCCCGCAACCCCCCCCCCCGCCACTCCTTCCCCTCCTCCTCTTGCGCAGTTCTGACCCTGAGGATGCCAGAGGCTGAAGGGAAGGAGGGAAGGAAGGAAGAGAAGAATCCTGCGGACGACAGTAGAAAATCCCAGATCGCACCCCTCGTACTCCACCCTCTGTCAGATGGGAGGCATTTCCAGCCTGACGGTGAGGGGAGGTTTCAAATAGGGTAAGAGTTGAGTGTGCCACAGTGCTATTACTGTGACAAAGTGACTGAAGGAGTTGTACTTACCTGAGAGCGGCCAGTGCACAAGACCCATTGAAAGAGTGCTAAAGAAATGGCCCAGAGAACTAAGTGCGAGACAGTGGTGAGGAGGACCCCGGTTATTTTCACCTGCATGTTAATAAATTCAGGGACCAGGGGCGCCTGGGTGGATCAGCTGGTTAAGCATCTGACTTGGTTTCAGCTCAGGTCATGATCTCACAGTTCACAAGTTCGAGCCCTGCATCAGGCTCTGCGCTGACAGTACGGCGTCTGCTTGGGATTCTCTCTCTCCCTCTCTCTCTCTGCCCCTCTTTTGCTCTCTCTTTATCTCTCTCAGAATAAATAAATAAACTTAAAAAATAATAAATAAATAAATTCAGGGACCGGGCTATACTGCTTTTACAGTGTATTTCAGTCCTGGCTGTTACAACTCTGGGTTCAAGGCGACGGGTCTTCAGGATTCCACCGGGGCTCAAGTCGGTGTCTGCATCGTGCCTCGTGGTGCAAAAACCTGGGAGGGTGCAAGGGGCAGGGGGCCACTACGTGAGCCCTAAAATGCCATTTCCAAGAAAACAGCCTGGATGTTTCCTCAAGCCACAGGACACTTTCTCCATGTGGTATTTACTATTTTAATCTTTATAAATGACACAGGACTAAGATCTTCTGCAAGCTCCAGGTGACCAAGACTTGGTTTTGCAAACTTGATGTGACAGAGCTGGAGACTGAAGGCCCAGGTACCCATCTTTCCTTCGAAAGCCGAAACAAACAAAACTTAATGAACTTTCTAGAACCTGCTCAACCTTTACTCTTGCACTTCCGGGAAATGATAACTGATCTGGATGGAACCTGCACCTCCCTTACTGCGTAACCTTCTTTTTAAAAAAAAATTTTTTTTTAACATTTATTCATTTTTGAGAGACACAGAGAGACAGAGTGAAAACAGGGGAGGGGTAGAGAGAGAGACACAGCATCTGAAGCAGGCTCCAGGCTCCAAGCTGTCAGCACAGAGCCTGACACGGGGCTTGAACCCATGAACCACAAGATCACAACCTGAGCTGAAGTCACATGCTTAACCCAGTGAGCTATCCAGGCACCCCGCCACGTAACTGTCTTATTTCTCACATCTACCCGGTGTCTGCATCATATAAAACCTTTGCTGACTGCCCGAGGGCAAGATGGTCTTACTTGCAGATTGAATTTCTTCTGGCAATAACAAATACAACTTTCTCTTCTCTCACCACTTTGTGGTCCTAATTTAGGAACTTAGACAATGTAATGTCCTCTTATTCAAGCAATTCTTATTCTTTCCCCTTTATTAAAACTGCAATGAAATCCTATAGATGATTACTTTGACTTCATTGGTTTTGGATCTCCCTCTTATATAATTCTCTATAGTTAGCAAAAATTTGAATCAAAAGCAGTATACAATAGTGTAATCTAAAAGGGAGTCCAAAATAAGCACGAAGCTAGTGATGAGCTTTTATTCCCAGTATTAATAACAGTCATAAATATGATGCGAATGCAAGCTTCTTCAAAATATATTTCATTAAATTCAATGGGGTGGCTTGGACTGGCTCCTGGAACAGAAAAAGGACATGCATGGAAAAATGGATAAAGTCAGTATAAAGCCTATAATTTAGTTCAGAAGACTGTGATTTCAATTTCTTGTTTTTGATAAATGTGTCACAGTTATATAAAATGTCAATGTGAGGGAGAGGCAGGTGAATCTTACGTGCAGACTCTATTTTTGTTTTTTGATGTTTACTTATGTATTTATTTTTGAGAGAGGGTGCGACCAGGGGAGGGGCAGAGAGAGAGAGAGAGAGAGAGAGAGAGAGAGAGAATACCAAGCAGGGTCTGCCCTGTCAGTGCAGAGCCAGACACGGGGATCGATCCCACGAACTGTGAAATCATGACCTGAGCGGAGATCAAGAGTTGAACGCTTCACCAACTGAGCCACCCAGGCACCCCACTCTCCACTTTTTCTTTGCAACTTTTCTGTATATCCAGAAGTATTACAAAATAATTTTTACTAAAACATATAATTCAGAAATTATTAAATTATATAAAAATGCCACATAAACTAGGAGTAATAAGAAATTAAAGAATGAACAAGCCATAATAAACCAAGCTACTTTATTTCTGAAATGCTCACATAGAATGTTCTCTGTGACATGAACAAATTAGAATGAAGTTTGGGGTTCTAGTTCAAAATGGTGACATAAGGGGGGGTACCTGGGTGGCTCGGTTGAGCGTCCGACTTCAGTTCAGGTCATGATCTCGCGGTCTATGAGTTTGAGCCCCGCGTAGGGCTCTGTACTGACAGCTCAGAGCCTGGAGCCTGCTTCAGGTTCTGTGTCTCCCTCTCTCTCTGTCCCTCCCCCACTCACACACTCTCTCTCTCTCTCTCCCTCTCAAAAATAAAATTAAAACATTAAAAAAAATTTTTTTAATTTAAAAAAGAAAAAGAAAGCACATGGTAGGAGGCAGGAAAGTCTGAGCGATCTTGTCACAAACTCCACCCCAGGTAGGACACCCAACAACTGGAAGAAATCTCAAACCCTGGAGGTTCTCCCTGAGGAACAAAGCGATTTTACCCCACGTGGGGCAGCCCAATTAGGACCAATACCTGAGAAACGAGCCCCACAAACATCTGGCTTTTAAG